AAAATTATTTCTAGGAATTATATAAATAATAAAATTCTTCTCAGGAATTCAATTATTTTTAAAAATTTTAATCATAATCGTTGTAAGAATTCAATTACTTTTTTAAAATTTTAATAATAATCGTTGCAAGAATTCAATTATTTTTAATACAATTTTAAATGAATTCGGAGAATAATGCAACTATTCTTAAAAATTTTAATAAAATTCTTTGAAAGAATTCAATTATTTTAAAAAATTTTAATGATATTCTTTATTTAATAATTGAATTGTTTTCAATATAATTTTAATTAAACGTTTTGAAAAAATTCAATTATTTTCATAAATAATATACAATTTTCAAAGAAATTCAATTATTTAAAACAAAATTTTCTTTATATTTTTTGATAAAAATCATATCTTTAAAAAGATTTTTTAAAATTCTTCTCAAGAATGCAATTATTTCAAAAACATTATTAAATATCGGTGACAAAAATTCAATTATTTTCATAAATAATAAAATTCATCGCAGGATTTCAATAATTTTTAATATAATTTCAAATTAATTTCGCTAAAAACGCAACTAATCTTAAAAATTTGAATAAAATTCTTCGAAAAAATTCAATTACTTAAACAAATGTTTATAAAATTCATCGAAAACATTCAATTATTTTCATAAATAAAAGAATTTTTACAGTCAATTCAATTATTTAAAACAGAATTTTCCTAATACTTTTTGAAAAAAACCAATTATTTAAATAGATTTTTATAAAATTCTTCGCAAAAATTCAATTCTTTTTATAAATAATAAAATTCTTCTCAGGAATTCAATTATTTTTAAAAATTTTCAAAATAATAATCGTTGCAAGAATTCAATTATTTTTATTAATAATAAAATTCTTCTCAGTAATTCAATTATTTAAAAAAATTTTTAGAACAATAATCTCTGCAAGAATTCATTTATTTTTATAAATATTAAAACTCATCGCAGGATTTTAATTATTTTGAATAGAATTTTAAATTAATTCCCCTATAAACGCAATTATTTTTAAAAATTTGAATAAAATTCTTCGAAAAAATCCAATTATTTAAAGAAATTTGATATTATTTGTTTCTTATAGAGTGTAATAATTATTTTCAATTCATTTTCAATTACATTTCTTGAATGGATTTAATTATTATCAAAAATTTTAATGCAATTCTTCGTAAAAATTCAATTATTTTAAAAATTGTTGATAAAGTTCTTTATGAGAATTAAAATTTAATAAATATTCAATTATTCAATAAATTATTTATTTTTGTATTTAAATAATTGAATTCTCGTAGAGCTTTCCAATGATAATTGATTTAGAATTGAATAAAATAAAATTATTAAAGTTTTGAATAATTTGTTTATAAATTTCAAGCAAAAAATGATTGAATTTTGAAAGAATTACTTCTGTAATTTTTAGAAATAGTTCAATTTCAAAAATGTGTTACATTAAAATCAATTGAAATATTTTATTTCCTGTGGACAAAATAAATAGGTATTTAAATATTTATTTAAAAAAATTAATCTATTTTTGAATGTAATTATGAAATTATAAAAAAATTGATTTAATTTTTCTATAGCTACTTTTTTACTATTCTTTTTCTGTCTTTAAGCTACTTTTTGCTACTTTTTTAATATTAATTATCGAGTACGAAGCCTGAGTATATTTTTCATGTATTTTATTCTTAAAGTTAGAATATAATATTTCTTAAATAAGAAACAGTTATTAAATTCAGAAATATTCCTGTTTTAAGAAACTTTTTTCTATTTTAATAATATTATATTCTGACTCTAAGAATATAATAATATATAGGAGCCAAGATTCTTAAATTTAGAATTTCGTTTTTTTGGTGAACTATAATTTAAGAGGTGAGAAATAGTACCTACATTCAATGGAAAAAGAATTTCAAAAATTTGTTATATAATAAAAATATTAAAAATGAGTCAACAAATATGTCACCTTCTGAGTCACATAAATGCTAAAAAATTCTTTCTTTACCATTTTTTTCTTTTTTTTATCTTCACGTTAATGTGTATTTTTAATGCGAAAAATATCTCTTAACCTTGTTATAATAGGAGAAAAAAAATACGAGAAAACGTCTTTTTCATTATTTTGAGAAAAAAACCATTTATGTAAATTTAATTAAAAAATATATATACGACAAGAAAAATTTGCTTGCATTTTTTTTTCATTTAAGCAAAATTTCATCATTGTTATTCATTTATTATTGTAAAAAATATTATAAATTAACTAAATTTGATACTTTGAAGTAACTTTTTAAATTTTTGTCAAAACTTCTAGGATTGTCACAATTCCCTGACTAAAAAAATTTCCCTGCAGGAAAAAATGTATATTTTTACAGATAACACATTTTAATAAAAATCATAATAATATAAAGTTGAGAAAAGAAATTTCTTAATGCATTTTACTAATGAATGGATGTTTTAATTTATGTTTAAATAATAGTAAATTAGTATTAATATTTTACGAAGCATATATTCATTACCAAATTTTTACTCTTTATTCTAGAGAAGAAAACACTTATCTGTCTAAATGATTTTTTGTTCAATAACCCAAATTTTTTATTAATAGAAATTTTATTAAATAGAATTTCTATCCAATTTTTATTCAACTGTCTTTCTACTTAGTTGAATTTTTTTAACTTTTAGAATTTTTAATTCACGAAATCTCTAGTGATCCGAAAATTTATTCAAGCTATTTTCAGAGAAACTAGAGAAACAGTTTTAAAATCAACTTCAAAAGCTTATAAATATTAGTTAACGTTAATTTTTTGAGGTTATGTTGCGCACCAGTTAAAGTTTTAATCATTTTAATATGATTTCGATTGTTTCAATTTTTTACTAAAAAGTTTTTACTTTTTAAACACAAAAGTAAAACATAAATGTATAAAAACGATGGACTAGACTTTTTTTTACTTACTGTGAAACATATTTTTGAAAGACTTTTGGAAGTTCTCCGAAATTTCTAGGTTATGTGAAACCCTCCGATATCCGATTATCGCCCAACAGAAACGTCGCACTGATTAAGACCTGAAATAGGTAAACAAATATTTGTCAACAAATTTTTCTCTGAACACAATAGACACTTTTTTCAAAATCTGCCAACACTTTTCTCTTGAATAATAATCAATAAAACGTTATCGCACTACGTAGATATCATCACAAACACAATTGACAATAAATATATTTAGCACTGTTTGTACGACATGCATTTATACTCTATAGGAGATGTGATATTTTTCAGAATATTTTTTCCATACAAAAATAATAAAGAATAAAAAACATAACCTCACTTACATTTGTGGAATTCTTTCCTCTCGTCTTGTCATCCTTGTAATTATTCATCAAACATCACATCACAAAAATCATGTTATAGTCAGTTAGTGGAAAATTATGATTCGTTTTGAAATTGTCGTTAGAATTTTAAAAGGTTTTTGCTGCACAGAGTTGTTGGAACGGTTGGAACAGAAAAAGTAGAATATGACAGTTTCACTGATGTTACGAGACTGAATATATTCGAGATCTGACTTATCAATACGAGCTAGGTAGGTGGTAGGTGGCGCTACAATAATAAAAATCTACTTTACCATATATTGCAGAAAAAAATTTAAAAATTAAATTAAATAAAATTTCAATTATTTTTAACATAATTTAAAATTAATTCCGCTAAAAACGCAATTATTCTTAAAAATTTAAATAAAATTCTTCGTAAAAATTTAATTATTTTAAAAAATGTTGATTATTAAATAGTAAATAATTAAATAATTAAAATAATCTTTCTTTTTAAATATTTTCAATTTTCAAATTAATTTATTGAAAATCATCATTTTTTGCAAAAAATGTTATCAAAAAATTAAATAATAATAGATAATTCCTGCGAAGAATTTTATTACTCAGGAAAATAATTGAATTCTCGAATAAAAAATATGTTAAAATTTTTGATAATTCTAATTAAACTCTTTTTGAAGAATTACTTTGAATTTTTTTTTTAAATAATGGAGTTTTTTTTAAAATTTTAATGAAAAATCTTTAAAATAATTGAATTTTATGAACAATTTCTTTCAATTTCTTTCAGTTTTGAAAATAATCGTGTTTGTTAATAATTTAAATTAAACATTTAATTATTAAATTTTATTTAAATTTTTGAAAATTCTTTTGAAAAATTTTTGTATCGAATTTAGAAAAAAATTGAATTTCTTTTGTGAAATTTTTTTTAAAATAACTGAATTTTTGCAAAGATTTTTATTATTTATAAATATAATTGAATTTTTTCGAAAAAAATAATTAAAGATTTTTATTATTTATAAATATAATTGAATTGATTCGAAGGATTTATTAAAAGTTTAAAAAATAATTGAATTTTTCCAAAAAATTTTACTATTATTACAAATATAATTGAATTTTTTCAAAAAATTTTACTATTTACAAATATAATTGAATTTTTTCCAAGAATTTATTGAAATTCTATATAGAAAATAATTGAATTCTTTTGAAATATTTGATATCGAATAATGAAAAAAAAATTGAATTCTCTCGTGAGAAATTTTTTTGAAAATAATTGAATTGTTGCCAAAGATTTTATATCGAAAAAAGAAGAAATTGAATTCTATAGTGAAATTTTTTTGATAATAATTAAATTTTTGCAAAGATTTTACTATTTAAAAAAAAATTGAATTGTTTCGAAGGATTTATTAAAATTTTATAAAATAATTGTATATTTTAATGAAATGTTATTAAAATTTTATTTGAAAATAATTGAATGTTTGCAAAAAATTTTACTATTTATAAAAATAATTGAATTCTTCTTCTTTTAATTCTTCTTATTCTTTTCTTTTATTATTATTTATGTAAATAATTAGTTAATAATTGAATTTTTTTAAAGTTTTATTTTCAAACTACAAAATAATTTTCATGTAGTCGTAAAGAAACAACAAAATAATACAATATTTTTTTTAAAAAGTACATTTTTTTATTTTTGACGAAATTTATTCCAATCGGAATTTTTTTTAAAGATATTAAATCTAATTTCTAAATCGAATATTTTATTTCAGTAAATGAATAATCTCGCTAGACAAATTCTCTAAGCGTTGCAAAAATGAAAACAAACAAAAATTATATTTCTTGCATAGATTACAAGTTTTTTGCCAAAAACAGAATTGAATCAAAAATTTTTTACTCTTTTTTGTGTTTAATTAAATTTTATAATTTGGGAAGTTTTTTTAAGACATTTTTTTTAATTCTTACCCAAAATTTTATTAATGATTACCTACGTGAAATGGTGAAAAATCCCTTGAATTGGATCAAAAATTTTTTACACTTTTTTGTGTTTAATTAAATTTTATATATTGGGAAGTTCTTTTAAAACATTTTTTTTTAATTCCTACCCAAAATTTTAGTAATTACGTGAAGTGGTGAAAAATCCCTTGAATTAGATCAAAAAATTTTTACACTTTTTTGTGTTTAATTAAATTTTATAACTTGTGAAATTTTTTTTGAAACATTTTTGAAACATTTTTTAAAATTCTTACCCAAAATTTTAATAATGATCCTCCTTACGTGAAATGGTGAAAAATCCCTTGAACATTCCGACAAACGGTTGTATATACATTTCCTTGATAGAATTTATCGAACTGTTCGGTACACCCAAAAATAAATGGAAACCCTCTGGTGTTGTTGTCTCCTCCTGAGAATGAATTCTCCATTTTCTCGTGTTCAACGATGAATTTAATTTCTCCAATTTATCTAAAATAACTTCAGGCCTCTCCATTCGTCCCGGTATCCAAATAATCGCACGATAATATCTCTCAAGACACTCTAAATTAATCACCGATAAATTTGCATTTTTCCACGGTTTTAAATTTGGCACAATATCAATTAGCCAGTCGCGTGAAAATTCATCATCACACTCAACAATAATTCCACCGTGTCTTATGTAATAATTCCGAAAACGTGGATATGGTGGACAATTAATATTTTTAATTTCCATTAAAATCTCGTGGGAAATTTTATTTTTTTGAAATCTCGATATTCCGTTCTTACGGAAATTCTGTTGGACAATAACTTTTATTAGTTGACTGTCCTGGGAGAATAGATCTTCGTCGGAGAGTCGTGATTTTTTTAATGATAGAAAACTATTTTTATTTGTTTTCAACATTTGTTCGCGCTCCTGTTGCTGGATGAATGATTGCCAATCGTTGGAAAATGTCACCGGTTGAATGTAACAATCAACATTTTCGGAAGTTGTTGGTTGATAATGATTGTAAAATGAATTTGGTGATGCTGATGATAATGATAATGATAGTGAATAATTACATTCTTGCGAATAGTCCGAAAATTCATTATGTTGAAGTGAATTTGATAGATTTTCACGAAACGAATCATTCGAATAATCGACCATATTTACATTTTCCTGTAAATTTGAATCGAAAAATTCATTTTCTCTTGTTCCCAATCGTCTTCTGTCGAATGGAAATTTTTTCTCCTGATGATTAGCAGTTACGTTGTTTACGGTTGAAAATTCCGGATATTGATTCGTGAAATTCATCCTTGGACAAATTTCAGAATTATTTTTTTCTTGAATTATTTTTCCGAATTCAATTCTTGATTTTTTTGCTGGATTTGACAAATCACTTTGTTCTTTACGTTTAAATTGATTTCCGGAAGATGATGCTGATGAAATTCGATCCTCATTAGTGACTGAAATTTTTGATACCTTTTCAACAAAATTTCTATAATTATTATCAGTTGGTTCGGAGGGGAATTTTTTTTTCTCCTTTCTCGTCAATTTCGTGTTTCCATTCTTTCCTTGATTGGAACAATTTTGTTGATTTTGAGTTTGATTGAGAAATAGTGCTTGATTATTATTCATTTCATTGAATAATAAATTTGCCCAAGTTAATTGATTAAAAGAATTTCCTTGGTTTTGATGATTAATTCCTTGGTTCGGATGATTAATTCCTGGGTTTTGATGATTAATTCCTGGGTTTTGATGATTAGTTCCTTGGTTCGGATGATTAATTCTTTGATTCAATTGTAAAATGGATCCACTTCTTTGATGTTGAGGTTCGTGGGAAATTTGAATATTTTTTAAATTTTCCACAACTCTTTTCTGCCTTCGTCGTTCCTTTCTTTTTTGTTTTGAAATTTCAGAACGAAATTTTGATTTAATTTTTTTATTGCTATTAGCTTGATTTTTAGTTTTCGATGAATCGTTGGAAAATAAAGTTTCATCAGTTATGGTAATGACTTCAATATTCTTGGGAATAATTTCGGGTATTATTATAATACAATCGTCATCATTATCATTTTTGGGAGAATCTTCAATGTTTGGATTTTTTTCGGATGAATCTTGAATTTTGTTATTTTCTATAGAAGAATTTTTAGAAGAATTGTTGTTATTATCTTCTTTAGGAGAATTATCGCAATTATTAGCTTCTTTAGAAGAATTTTCTCCTTCTTGGCAATTTTTAGAAGTATCAACACATTCAGCTTCTTGAGGAGAAATTTCTCCTTCTTCGTAATTTTTAGAAGCATCAACACATTCAGCTTCTTCAGGAGAAATTTCTCCTTCTTCGTAATTTTTAGAAGCATCAACACATTCAGCTTCTTCAGGAGAAATTTCTCCGTCTTCGTAATTTTTAGAAGCATCAACACATTCGGTTTCTTCGGGGGAATTTTCTCCTTCTTGGCAATTTTTAGAAGCATCAACAGATTTATTATTATCATCAGAAATTTTTTCAGATTTTTCCGATTTTTCTGAAGAACATTCTTCATTATTTTGAACTTCAGAAGAGTCAGTGTCGTTTTTAGAAGAATTCTCAATTTTATCGTTTTGAAGAATATTCTCACTTATCTCTTGACAATCTTTAGAAAAATCGACTAATTTTTCACAAACTTGAGGAGAATCCTTCGCCTCATTATCGATATTTTTAATATTGCCATCATTATTAGAATTTATCACTTTATTCTGATTTTTAGCGTTATCATCATTATTTTGATCATTCTGAACAGAAATCTGAACGTTGTTGTCATTTTTAGAATTTTCATCCTTGGATGAATTTTGAATAACTTTATTCTTATCGTTTTTAGAAAAATCATCAATTTCACGAGTATTTTTATTTAAAGAATCATCAAGTTTATTGTCGATTTTTGAATCCTTATTTTGACAATATTTACAAGAATTATTCATTTCATTCATTTTATTGTCACTGTTGAAAGAATTGTTAATTTCTTCGTTATTTTCAGAAGAATCATCAAATTTTTTACATTCCTCAGAGGAATCATCAATTTTACACGAAGAATCTGCAATTTTATTATTTAACGCTAAATTCAAAGATTGATCGTCACATTTTTCTTCGGAAGAGGGAAATTTATTTGCAGATTCCATATTTCATTCTTTTTCAAAAAGAAAAAACGAGAAGGTGGAAATTTTTCCAAATTTCAGATCTGAAAGAAAAAAATTACCAATAATTTCAAAATGAAAAAAAAAGTAGAGTAAAAAGACAATTTTATTTTCAATACGATCCTAATAAACAATATTATAGTTATAAATTAATTATTATAAATTAATAAATATAAATTTATAATTCTAAAATAATATTTATAAATTATAATTTTATTAATAATTATAATTATAAAAATTAAAAAATTATTTTCTACATTTCTGATTAATTTTAGAATAAAGTAATAAATAAACAAAAAAAATTAATTAATATTAATTAATATTACAAGAATATTAATTATAATTGTAATTTTATTAAGTAATAAGATTCAAACAATTTTTGCATTGACACTAAAAATATTATAGGCTATTTTATACGAATATTTTTTAAAAACTAAAAAGTACTTGCCTGTTAAAAGCTAAATAGAAATATAGAATTTTTTTTCTCGCAAATTTTCTTCCTTTATTTGTCAATCAACTGTTTTTCTTTTTAGAATTTGATTTTTAGTAATAAACGCAATAAATGAACAAAGTAATGTTTATTTTGCAGGAGCAGAACTTTATACTTTCATTGTTTAGCGAACACGTGGTTGTGTGTTCGCAAAACTATCACATACTATATTGTAGTTTTGGGAACACACCATCATTTGGGGTATGTCCTCATTAATTGAGGTTATTTTGAAATTAAAATTTCTATCTCCTAAATTCAACAAAATAAAATTTGTTCTACAAGAAAATTTTGTGCAATTTAAGTAAAAATATTTTTAAAATAAAAATATTTACAATAAATTAGAAAAAAAAATCAATAAAAATATAAATATTATTATATTCTCAAAAAATATTAAAGATTCTCAACCCTGTCAGTGTAATTATCAAAGAGGGTTGCATACATTTGTATCAGAATGAAAAGAGCAGAATGACTATTATGTCGAATTCACAAAGGTAGAATCTGTAACTTTACGAATTTGTTTTTACCGAATACAAAATTTAAGAAAATTATTTTCACGAATTAACATTGACATAATTTTTATTTTCACTAAACAATAATTGATAGAATTTTAAAATAGTCGATTTCTTATTTAGTCGAAAGTTTAAAAATCCGAAATTTAATTTAACCTAATTTTATTTTGTCGAATGGTGGTTAAAATATAATGTGAATATTAACGAAATTTATTGTAGCCAAATTTATAACTAACCTAAATGTAACTGAACCGAAAAGTAATATTACATATTCCTTATTCTATAGAAATTAAAAATGTTCGAATTATTATGTAATCGAATATTACTATATAGAAAATTAATTTTAATCGATATTTCGAAATCTCGAAATGCAAATTAATCTAAACTAATATTTAAGGAAAATACAACTAAGCGAATTTATAATTACCCGAAAGCTAATTTGGTAGAGAATTTTTGTGAGTGAATTTAATTTGAGCCAAAAAGCAAGTAGCCGAAACGTCATCTGTTATAATCTTAAAGTGGTGGAAAAGCTATTTGTAAGAATGGTTAAATAGTCGAAGCGCCATCTGTTCGAATTGTCCAGAAGACGATTGGTGATTTAGTAGAATTGAAAAAACGTCGAATTTTAAAAACACCGAATTATCAATTTGTCGAATGCTCAGAACATCGAATTGTCAGTTCGTAGAATGATAAAAACGTCTAATGCTAAAAACATCGAATCCTCAAAAGTTCGAAAAAATTTGTTTGATCTAAATAAACATTTCTTTGTTTTAAGTTAATGTTTACTTAGATCAAACAAATTTTTTCGAACTTTTGAGGATTCGATGTTTTTAGCATTAGACGTTTTTATCATTCTACGAACTGACAATTCGATGTTCTGAGCATTCGACAAATTGATAATTCGGTGTTTTTAAAATTCGACGTTTTTTCAATTCTACTAAATCACCAATCGTCTTCTGGACAATTCGAACAGATGGCGCTTCGACTATTTAACCATTCTTACAAATAGCTTTTCCACCACTTTAAGATTATAACAGATGACGTTTCGGCTACTTGCTTTTTGGCTCAAATTAAATTCACTCACAAAAATTCTCTACCAAATTAGCTTTCGGGTAATTATAAATTCGCTTAGTTGTATTTTCCTTAAATATTAGTTTAGATTAATTTGCATTTCGAGATTTCGAAATATCGATTAAAATTAATTTTCTATATAGTAATATTCGATTACATAATAATTCGAACATTTTTAATTTCTATAGAATAAGGAATATGTAATATTACTTTTCGGTTCAGTTACATTTAGGTTAGTTATAAATTTGGCTACAATAAATTTCGTTAATATTCACATTATATTTTAACCACCATTCGACAAAATAAAATTAGGTTAAATTAAATTTCGGATTTTTAAACTTTCGACTAAATAAGAAATCGACTATTTTAAAATTCTATCAATTATTGTTTAGTGAAAATAAAAATTATGTCAATGTTAATTCGTGAAAATAATTTTCTTAAATTTTGTATTCGGTAAAAACAAATTCGTAAAGTTACAGATTCTACCTTTGTGAATTCGACATAATAGTCATTCTGCTCTTTTCATTCTGATACAAATGTATGCAACCCATCAAAGAATTCTACATCACTGACTTCCGGTTCAAAGAAAAAAATTCAAAATTTTTGTACCCCAAGAATTAGAATATAAAATAAAATATAAATCAAAAATAAATAAATAAAAATACAAATAAAATTAAAAATAGAAATCAAAAATAAAAATAAAATATAAATTAAAATATAAATCAAAATAAAATATGAATTATAAAATGTATTTATACATATAATAAAAAATAAAATATACTAAATTTACTTTTAAAATTAAAAGAATTAAAATGAAAGAATGTAGCATAAATAATTATTTGTAATTAAAGTAATTTTATGAAATTCTTCGAAATTAAAATTTAATTTAAAATTAAATTAAACTAAACGAATCAGTAACAATATAATCTGATTATTTAAAATTCAAAGTTGTATAAAAGTACTTTTAAAAATAAATTAAATTTTCCTTGATTAATTAAAATAATGTAAAGTGTTGTGTATAATTTAATAAAATAAACAAAAAATTTCCAATTACCAGGCCTTAAAATCGATTTTTTAAGTCACAAAAAAAAGTCGAGAAAAAGTCGTTTATTTAATTCAGTGTTGCAACAAAAATTTTATATTGTAAGATTGTAACTGTAGTTATTGTCCATGTTTTTTTAAAGTTATTAAGTTATAATATTTTTAAAAAATTATAATAAAGAAACTCTTAAAATTAATTTTTTGAAAATATTTTAAAATAATTTTTTAAAGATGTCTTTCAATTAAATGTACAATTAAAAAATTTCAAAACAATTGAATTTTGGTCAAATCTTTTAAAAATAATTGAAATTTGATAAAATCTTTTTAAAACAATTGAATTTTGGTAGAATCGTTTTAAAATTAATTGAAATTTGACAAAATCTTTTAAAAATAATTGAATTTTTTGAAAAATATAAAAATAAATAATCAAATTCTTGAAAAGTTAATTTTCAAAAATTGTAATAATAATATATGAAAAAAATCAATTATTTACAATTAAATTTTACAAAATTTCAATTATTCTAAATCTTTTTAATTGTATATTTCGAAAATTTGATTAGAAAAATTATTCAAAAATAATCTTTGTATTTTGTATTTTGCAGAAAATTCGAAAAAGTCACAATTTTTAAAAATAAGTCGAAAAAGTCATATAATATCCGAGGCCTGAATTACGTCAATTAAACATAAAAAATTCTAATACGATAAGAAAAAGACAACAAGAAGAAAGCACTGAAAACTGAATTTGCTCGCAATAAATATTTGAAAATGCATATAAATAAACAATCTTTTATCCAGATTTCATAATTTTTCTTTTCTTTCAATTAATTGTCGACGATTTCTCTCGTACATTGAACTCCCCCCAATAGATATTCTTGACTGATAAATATTCTTATAATAATTTATCAGTGTAAATATGATCACACGACAAAATATAGCTTATAAACATATATATTTAAAAAATCAGGAAGTCAATGCAATAATTCTGTTCGAGGCATTTTCATTATCTATTTAATTGATATATATGTATATATATAAACAAATATATAGATGTAAATAAATTAAAGTCATTGATTCTTATTTTGACACCAATATTCCTTTTTCAGTCTCGAACGTTTAGCATCAAAAATATTCCCAGCGGAATATTTTCAAAATATTCTTGAAAATATATTTTTCAAAGTTGAACAAAATTTCAAATTCAAAATACGATATATTTCGCACATTTCATAAAATTATAAAAATAATTTTCTATATATCGTAAATAAAATTGCCTCGAGCGAATGAAAATTAAAACAAACTTTTTTTTTACGTCCATTGGAAAATATTTATTTAATCACTTAAATATTTTTAATATTTGGCAAATGGCGAATTATATTGCAATATAATGACAATATATTTACGTTTAGAATTTAAGTAAAAAATGTCGTTGAATATAATTATTTTTACGGAAATATAGAAACGAAGCAATTCCTGAATTATTCTATAGAATAGAAATAAAAAAAAAGAAAACTTCTTCTGTGCGCTTTCTTTTTAAACCAAAAAACAAAAAAATGATAAATAAATAAAAATACTGCGTTGAATAAATAAAAGCATTTTTGAGAAAAATTTCTCATTAAAAGTTTCACATATATTAAAGTCGAAAAAAAATTATTTAAAAATTTATCAACAGTATGAAATTATTCGCAGAGAAGAAAGAAATAAAAAAATTTTTAACGTGATGGAATTTTTTTTTTTTAAAAGTTAAAATTGCCAATTAATCCACTTTAAAATGTGGATTTTTTACGGTTTCATTTTCGATAACTTCAATTGCGCACGGTCGAGGAAACCAGCCTCGAACACGATTCAATTTATTGTCCTTTGATTCCTCCTGTTCTCTTTCTCCAAATAGCCAATTTCTGTACAAAGGAAAAAAAATTAATTTTTAAAAATTAACAATTTTTGGTATATTTTTTTCTATTTTATAAACCAAATTTGGATAATATAATAAGTTTGGATCAATAATAATAATCTAAATATAATTTGGATTTTATAATCTAAATTTGGTTTATAAAATTAAAAAAAAAATTTTTTAATTGTAATTCGTAATTTTAATAAAATTCTATTAATAATTATTTATTAATATTTAGTTGATATATAAAATTAAATGAATAATTTTGTTTGTTTTTTAAATCTGTTAAAAAAAAAATTGAATACGAACTTGTTTCGTCGAGTGACGTTCACTATGTCACCGATTTTTAATTTTATTCGCGAATCATTAGTGAAAGGTGGCGAACAAAATACTTTAAAACCATGACTTATTGGTAGCCACGATCCCGATGCTGGTGCAATAATTCTGAATTTTCGGGCATGACGACGTTTTTCCATTTTTTGGGCCAATTGTTCCCGCTGTGAAAATTAGAAAACATTTTTGAAAAAAAAATTTTTTTTAAAATTATTTTCAAAATTTATTATTAATAAAATTTAGAAAGAAAATATAATAATATAATAATAAAAAAATTATTTAGAAGAAAATTTTTACCGTTAATGTGTATTGATCACAGCCATCAATAACAGGCCAATGAATTCCATCGCCTGACGGAATGCAATGCAAAGAAATCACTTGCTTAATATTCCCCATTCTTCCAATATCATAGGGATGAATAAATATTTCGTTCGTCTTGTAACGACGATATTGCGCCTTCGTAAAAATCCAGTCTTCGATCCCCGTTCTATTCCTTAGAATAGCGATTATCTGCAAATAGATTTTGCGAAATTAATTTATTTTGTTCTATTATTTTTTTTCTGAAAATTTAAAGTAAATATCAAATTTGTGAGGGTAGCGCAATTCTTTCCTACGGCCCTGGGCGACTGATCGACGCAGCGTTCTCTGCGCACGCGCAACCCTTCCACTGCCTATAATTCCGAGAAAAAACCCCCACCCCATCTTGAGACTATAAAAGCAAGACGCACAGTTCCTTCCCAACATTACGAGTTGAGTCGCTGAGTAGAAAGGACAAATTTTATCGGAATTTTCTTTTCTGCAAAACAACTAACTAGTTAAATTATAGCCTTCAGCTATTAAATTAGATTTGAATAAGAAATTAAATAGTCTTTGCATCTCAATAAATAAGTTAAAAATATACAACAGTAGGAATAGTTATTTTTGTACCAAGGGCAAAAAAAGGTGATTGTGACGAAGAAGAGTTGAAGGGACCGAGGAGACCTTTCCGCACCCGAGGCAAAGCCGAGGTTGCGGAAAGGTTGACGAGGTCCCCAAAATCTCACCTTCATCGGAATCTCCATACAATTAAAAAAAATTATTTGAATTATTATATTATTTGTAAAAAAAAAATTGTTGTGGGAATTCCAATGAAGGGGAGATTTCGGCGACCAAATGCCCTGATACTTAATTCTATAGAAGAATATTAGAAACTTACTTGAAAATAAAGTAACATGCCGACAGCAATGACGACTCCTATTGATAAACCAATGGTGAAAATTGCGAGAAAAAGAATAAGTAATGATGGCGGTGGAAACATCATGGTCCTCGGTGAAAAAATTTGCATAATCCATGAGATTAAAATAATTGTCGAAAGTAAAGAGCCACCAACAGCACTTGCTAGAAATGCCGTGAAATAGCCATGATTTAAATGTCCAACACAATTATTTATCCATGGACAATGATGATCCATTTTCATGACACAGCGACCACCTTTAAAAATATTGTCAATTTTTGCTTTACGTTTTCCAAGATCCTATAAATTTAACATTTAGATTAAAAATTAGTTAATTAAATGCATATTTGAACTTACAACTTCTACAATGATGAGATCGTGGTGCTTTATAGCCTTGACAAATTGAGCAAAACTGAAGGTATTCGCAATCAGATTCATCTTTCTGTAACAATTGATAAAAACGATAAAGTTTTACATTTTCATTTTAAGAATAAAAGAGGTAATTGAATTTATCGATCTAATGACATGAAACTTTTAAAAGTATAATGACATGGAAATTCTGCAAACATATATTATACACCTTCCAGATCAGGTTCTGTTTAAAATCAAACTTGGAATTTCAATAATTTATTTCATTCCTGCAAATATGATTTTATTGCATCATCCTTTTCTTCGGCGGTAATAGAAATCGTATGCTGATTACAGAAATACATAAATGAGCAGGTAATTGAATAATGGAATGATTTATATTCTGATAGGGTCGTTTAAAGTCGTCACACTTTTAGCGGACTTTACATACCCAACCACTGAGGGATAAAGCTTGCGGTTGTAGATTTTATTTAATTTTAATTTATTGTATTGTAAATTTTGCTTTTAACTATTGACGCATGGTATCCGCAGAGATTGGAAAAGGCAAAAGTCTTACGACAGTTCCGAGGGTGGATAAAAGGTCTCCAAAAGAACAGTTGGTTCCACAACTGTATTAATCAGAATTTAGGTGAAAAGATCTAGTTACATTACTAAACCGAGTTCACCGACTTAAACTCTGGTTCAAAAAAAGTTTTGGAACCGACTTTTAGTGGTTAGGGGCTGGTAGTAATTCACCAGCTATTTAAGTTGAAATAATTTAGTAAGACCTACTCGTTTACTTTTGGTTAAATCACTAATTCTTGCTCTCTTTGATTATTGTTGCCCTGTCTATGAAGATATCATCAGTTCTGATTTAAATCAGAAATCTCAACTCGTCTACTTTTGGTTAAATCACTAATTCTTCCTCTCTTTGATTATTGTTGCCCTGTCTATGATGACATCAGTTCTGATTTAAATCAGAAACTTGAAAGATCCTTAAATGCTTGCATTCGTTTTATTTATGATCTGCTGAAGTTTGTGCATTTATCGAAATATAGAATCAAGTCTGGGTTATTAAATGTTGCAACACGTAGTCAAGAATCTTACTTACTATATTCAATTTTCAAGACGAAGACATCCATTTTACCTACTTAATTTTTTTGAGTTCAAAAATCTTAATCCTAATCTTATTCTAGAATCTTAATTCATTAATATTTTTGAACACATAACAGGCTCCGGGAAAGAAAACAAATCTTAAATATACCTGCACAACGAACTTGCAAAATGCAGCGATCTTTTAGAGTAACAGGAGCTAGACTATGAAATAAATTAAATTCTGTCATAACGGATGCTCCCAATAGTATCAGTTTTAAAAAGTTATTTTTTGAACTTTTATTTAAAACAAGTAATGAAATTTTTAATGTTACTTATTGGTAGCATTTTCTTTAATATTTTCTTTCTTTCTCATCATTTATATAAATTTTATAATTTATATTTTGATTGTTTAATGCAATATAGTGTAATTCTATCTATTTTCATCAAATAATAGGTACTTTTGTTATATTCACTGTAAAAAAAAGGTTCTAAACTAGATCTCTAATTTCGGTATTAAAATTAAAACAAATTACGATTTAGGTAATTACGATTTAGTACCAAAATTGATACTAAAATCGTACCTTTCTTTTTACAGTGTCAGTATTAAGTTTGATATATTTTATGATTGTTGTTTGCTCAACTTCATTATATAAGTTTTTTTTAGTATAAATAATATTGATTAAACAAAATAATATTATAATGTACCTGTTCCTTGAAGGGTTCTTTAGCCCTAGGAACTGTAAATATTTTTAAATAAATAAATCGAAATAAAAAAACTCAATTCTTAAAAATCAAAAATGCAAAATAAAAATAAATTCTTTACTCACCGGCCACCAATTTAAGGGCAAAAATCCCGGTCCCTCGTAAATGGCATATATAAAATGATAGAGTGTCGATCCACTGAGACTAGAGAAAAGTAAAAAATTTATTGCACCCAAAAAACTCTCCTGAGGTGGCATTAATTGTCTGATACAGTGTATCGTCATTAATGTTATTATTTTTATTAGAGCTGAAAAATAAAAAAAATTCTATAAATTATGTACTCTAATTAATCAATTACCCAAATAGTACAACATTTTAGATTAATATTGCCAATGTTGCTGCAATATTGACGCAATATTGGTCTCAAACATTCCTCTATTTGGATTTACAATAATTATTTATTTATTCATTAATATTAATAATAAAATTATATAAATAAAAGATGTTTTAGTTTTTTTGTTCGGCCAAACAAAAAAAAACATCTTTTATTTATATACAATTTTATGCCTTCCAAAAATATTGAATTAATAATAATATTAGAAACAATAATTAATAAAATATCGTTGATTTATAATTCGAAGAATTTTAAATGAGGAAACAATTTAAAATAAACCTTTTTTTTGGAGCGTGGAGATAAAAAAAATCTCAATATAAATAAAATGAATTTAAACATTCATCTGAAAAAGAAATGATTTCTTTTTTAAAATTATGCGTATAAGAAATATATTTAAAGCAACAATCTTATTCACAAAAGATTAGTCCTCTCTTTTCTTTAATTATGATAACCAGATGAAGAATAAAGGAAGTATTTCATCGCGTATCTATAATTATCAATTGTTTTATTTTTAAAATAATTCTATTTGAAAAGAAAAGAATTTGTTAATTAAATCTTCTTTTTCTTTTTGAAAAACGGTTTAATTTTCTTTTCTACAGGAATATGGAAAAAAATTAGAAAATAATTTAAAACAAAAATGAACTTAGATCATAGACTTTATATAAACCAATCAGAATTGTTAAAATGTGAATCTCAAGTGTCCTTTGTGAATTCAGGGGGAAAAAGAGTTTATCAAAAACAATGCGTTACACACAAGAAATGCTCAGTTGCTTCTTAACTATCGTTATATGATTTACTTTTTACACACCCTTATAAATTAACAGAACTTTATTAGTTTTTCCTTATTTCTTCATTTATTTCTTTTTTTTCATTATTACTTTTTAATTGTCATTCTTTACTTAATTTTTCTTTTGGTAAAAAATAATTTTTCGCTTTTTAATAAACAATTTTAATAAATAATTTTTCTTGTGATTATATTATTACTTTTATTATTATTATTAATATTATTTTTGTTACTACTATTGTTTTTATTGATATTTTAATTATTATTATTTCAATTATTTTTGTTATTTTAATTATTATTATTATTATTACTATTATTTTCATTATTATTTTAATTATTATTATTACTATTATTTTTTTTTGTTATAATTAAATAAAAAAAAATGAATTGTCTTCAAGTAACAAACGTCGAAATTGTTGATGATTTTATGAATGATGAGGACATTATTAAAAAAATCACAAAAACACAAACGGATGAAGATTCATTTTTTGTTCTTGATGTCGGTGATTTAATAAGAAAACATAAAATTTGGTTGAAAGAATTCCCAAGAATAACACCACATTTTGGTAAGTAAACCATGAAATAATTATTTATAAATAATAATTTTTTTTTCACTTCTAAGAAAATTCTTAATTTCTTCACAAATTTAATATTAAAAGTCATTTATATTTTCTTAATAAAATTATTATAAATAAATATACAAATTCATAAAGTATAAATAAAAATATATAAACAAAATATTTAAAAATTTTTTAAAAATATAAAATATATGCAAATTTTATAAATAAAATAGAGAAAAATTGAAAATCGATTAAATTAAATAATAATTATAATAATAATAATAAATAATAATAATATAATAATAATAATAATAATAATAATAATAATAATAATAATAATAATAATAATAATAATAATTAATTATAAATTATAGTTAAATTAAATTAAATTAAATTTTTACTACAATAAATATTTTTAATTCAGACATAAATTTCAATTATTTGATTTTACGATTATTTTAAATCATCGTATCATTAATAATTATTGCTATCAATTTTTTAGCCGTAAAGAGCAATTCAAATTCAATGGTCATTAAAACGTTAGCCGCACTCAATGGAAATTTTGATTGCGCTTCACTGGTGAGTTGAGAAAAAAATAGAAAATTGTTAAATAAAAAACAATTATTAATAATTTTAAAATAAAATTCTCATTTCCTTAATCTAACTTCATTAATTATTATAATTTCTTATTTTAAAACAATTAATTAAAATGAACCAAATTTCCAAATCAATTAATCAGAAAAAATAAAATAATTTATTTATAAATAATTAGAAATAATTTACTTACAAATAATTATGAATAATTTATTTACAAATAGTTAGGAATAATTTATTTACAAATAGTTAGGAATAATTTATATACAAATAATTATAAATAATTTATTTTCAAATAATTAAGAATAATTATTTGTAAATAATGTATCAATTTTACTAAAAATAATTTTATCAATTTATTTCTTATAACTTCAGTCAAGGATAATTTAATTCGAAAGACTAATCGTTTAATGCAGTAGGTAATAATTGAAGAGCAAAAAATTTGAAAAATTCAAAATTATAGAGTACAATAAAAATAAATAATAAGGAAAACTAACATTTTTCTTTCCGCTTTAATTAATTCGATTTGTTTCCGAGTAACTAAGGTTTTTATTTTCAATCGTATACAGGCTTATGAATATAACGATTAATTATATACGAACAGTCAAGTTAATTGTCATCAACTTTTTTGAAAACGAGAAATAAATTGCGCTCTATTAAAATTTTTATAGGAAAAAAATTGTAATTTTTCGAATTATTTATTTCTTTTTTCAATAAGAAAAAAAAAGGAATTTAATTCATGAAATAAAATTTCCTTAAATTGAGAATAGAGATTAAAAATTTCTTTTTTAAGAATTAAAAAATTTTTTTTTTTTCATGGAATAATTAATTTGTTTATTATTATTTTTTGTTAGCAAGAGATAATGCAAGTTATGGAATGTGGTGTGACTGGAGACAGAATTATTTTCGCTCATCCAGTAAAATTCCCATCGCACGTGAAATACGCTAAAAAAGTTGGCATTCAACGAATGACAGTTGACAATCCGAATGAAGTACATAAAATTAAAACTCTATTTCCAGAAGCAAAGTGAGTTACTGATTGTATTTTTATTTTTTACTACTAAATCCGTTTCAATTTTTTTTTTCTTAACTTTATAGAATGTTTATATTCTTAAATATAAATATTATAAATAATTTATATTCTTAAATATAAATATTATAAATAATATTTATTTATTTATAGTAAACGGGTTGTAATAAATATTATATTTATATATTAAAATTTCCATTTATAGAATAGTGATTCGAATACGTTGCGATGCAAAAAAGGCGGAAATAAATTTGGGCAACAAATTTGGCTGTGATCCCGATCGTGAGGCAAAGGAATTAATTAATTTAATTAAAAAATTGGGACTACATCTTCATGGTTTTAGTTTTCACGTTGGAAGTCTTTGCAGAGAAGCAGAAGCCTTTAGTCGGGGAATTAAAGTCTGCAATAATTTAATCGATTATGCAAAATTAATTGGATGTAAAGAAGTGTGTCTTATTGACATTGGCGGGGGATTCCCTGGAGAAAATGACGCAAATATCCGAGAAGTGAGTTTTTTTTTTTGTTCTAAAAAATAAATAAAAAATCGTATTTTCAATGTTACAAGCAAAAGAAAAAAATATGATAACTTTTACTATACCCAAGGTAAATTTTTTTATACTAAGAAAAGTTTGATAATTTTTATTCAACTCAACTTGAAAATTTATTATTTTTGAACTGTAAAATAATAAAAGTTTCCTTGCAAGCTTGGATAGTAATTTTTATACGGAAATAATAAAAGTTGTCAAAAATTTTCCTGATAAAAGATTAAGTGAGAAAATTTTTATACGGAAATAGGAAAAGTTGACAAAAAAGTGCAGTTGTTTATTTTCCGTGTAAAGTAAAATAATTGCAAACTTTGGATTTTTTTAATATTTAAAAATTTTAAATAAAGTTTACAGAAGTGATAAATGAAGCACTAAAGGATGTTGATTCGTCAATAAAAATTATCAGTGAACCTGGAAGATATTATGTTACTTCTGCATTTAAATTGGTGGCCCAAGTTCAAGGGAAAAAAAGATTTATTCATGAGAATGAGGAAAGATTTGTTTATTATATCAATGAAGGTGTATTTGGATCGTTTAAAGACGAAATGATGGGATTAGAAGCAAGAGTGCCAACTTCCCTAAGAAAAGTAAGTATTTAAACAAGGAATTTTCATCAGTGAGGAAAAATTTCTAATGAGCTTAATAAAATAAACTTTATGCACTTTTTCCTTCTTCTATTTTTAGTTTTTCTTCCTCTATAAAGTTTTTTTCAGTTCAAAAATTACTCATTTCTTTCAATAAAAATGAAGACCAAAAATTCGATCATTTTTTTCTTGAAATTTATATAAATAAAATAATTAGCTAAACTTTAATCATTTTATTTTATTCAATTCCAAATCAATTCTTATTAGAAAGTTCTACAAGAATTCAATTATTTAAATACAAAAATAAATAATTTATTAAATAATTGAATATTTTTTAAATTTCAATTTTTATAAAGAACTTTATCTTCATAATTATAATTGAATTCTTGCAACGTATTTTATTACAATTCTTAAAAAATAATTGAATTCTTGAGAAAAATTTTATTAATTAAGAAAATAATTAAATTCTAGAGAAAAATTCAATTATTTACGAAAAAAATTGAATTCTTGCGAAGAATTTTATTGATTAAGAAAACAATTGAATTCTTGAGATGAATTGTTTTAACTATATAAGAAGATAATTGAATTCTTGCAACGAATTTTATTACAATTCTTAAAAAATAATTGTATTTCTGAGAAGAATTTTATTAATTAAGAAAATAATTGAATTCTTTTAAAAAATCTTTTAAAAATTATATCGAAAACAATTGAATTATTCTAAAGAATATTTTTCATTAAAATTTTAATAATATTAATTGAATTCTTGCAACTATTATTATTAAAATTTTCAAAAATAATTGAATTAGTAAGAAGAATTTTATTATTTATAAAAATAATTGAATTCTTGCGAAGAATCTAAAAAAAAATCTTTTTAAAGAAATGATTTTTTTCGAAAAATATTAGGGAAATTTTATTTTGCAAAGAATTTTATTAAAATGCCTCAAAATAATTGGATTCTTTCCAAGAATTATTTATGTAAATAATTGAATTCTTGGGAAGAATTTTATTAAAATTTAAAAGAATGATTGAATTATGTATAACAAACAAATTTAATTAAATTTGTATTTAAAATAATTGATTTTTATCGAACAATTTTATTAAAATATTTGAAAATACCTTGAAATCCTGTGATGAGTTTTATTATTTATGAAAATAATTCAAAATTCTTCCAAAGAATTTAAAAAACATATTTTTTTAAATAATTGATTTTTCCGAGAAATTGAAATTAAATTTTTAAGAATAATTACTGTTTTTGAGCAATTTCTATATACTTCTATTGAAAATAATTGAAATCCTGCGATGAATTTTAGTATTTATTAAAATAATTGAACATTTTCTAAAAATTTTATTAAAATTTTCAAAAATAATTGAATTTCTGAGAAGAATTTTATTATTTATGAAAATAATTGAATTATTGCGAAAAACTTTATTAAAATGTTTAAAAAGAATTGAATTTCGGTGAAAAAATTTGTTATTTTTGAAAATATTTGAATTTTTCATACAAATTTTATAAACATTGTTTTAAATAATTAATCTTTTCGAAATATAGTAAATATTATGAAAATTTTATTTTAAATAATTGAATTCTTGTGGAATACTTTATTTGTGAAAATAATTGAATTTTGCAAAGAATATTTTTAAAATGCCTCAAAATAATTTAATTTTCGAGAATAATTTTGTTATTTATCTTTAATAATTGAATTCTTTCGAAGAATTATTTATATATAAATAATTAAATTCTTGGGAAGAATTCTATTAAAATCAAGAATAATTGAATTATTTCAAAAAAATTTAATTAAAATTATGTATTTAAAATAATTGATTTTTTTCGAATCATTTTATTAAAATATTTGAAAATAATTAAATTCCTGTGAAAAATTTTAATATTTTTGTAAAAAATTAAATTCCTGTGAAAAATTCTAATATTTTTGTAAATAATTAAATTCTTCGAAAGAATTAGAAAAATATTTTTTTTAAATAATTGATTTTTTCGAGGAATTGAAATTAAATTTTTAAGAATAATTACATTTTTTTGCACAATTCCTGTAAAATTGTATTAAAAATAATTGAATTCCTGTAAAAATTTTTTTATTTATAAAAATAATTGCATGTCTCCGAAGAATGAGTCATTATTTTGATGAATACAATTTTGATTTAAAATAAAAAATTTCTTTTCCTAACATAATTAATTTATAGGTAGACAACAACGAATTATTTGTCAGTACAATGTGGGGACAAACTGCCGACGAATTGGATTGCATTTTAAAAAATGTCCGACTTCAAAAATTCGAAATTGGCGATTGGTTAATTTGGAAAAATATGGGAGCCTACACGATAAGTTTAGCTGCATCATCGCATGGTTTCACTTTATCGAGGGTCTATCCCATCATACGAAGAACTGAATGGTAAATTATAAAAAAAATTTTAAAAAAAGAAAATTTAAAAAAAAAAATTTTTTCTAAATTAAAATAATGCAAAAAATTCTCATCTCTACAGGGAAATTGTGTGCGCTGAGGAAAGATTAACTAACGGTAATGTAAACGAGAAACAGAAAATTTACCGACTCTTTGAGAAAGATGATAAACGATATTAAAAATTTCCGGAAAATAAGATCAAAAATTTAATAGTCCATGACATTTAATGTTAAAAATTAACGAGTTGAAAGAATAAAAGTGAAAAGGAATAAAAATGTTTCGAGAAAAAAAACTTTTATATATTTAACAGTAAGATAAAAGGAGAGTCCAAAAAAAAAAGAATAAACAATTTTCTCCAATGCAGAGGATACGATATTCTTTTATATCAGCGATAAGAAGTGGAAATTCATTAATCATTTCTCAACAAAAGAAAAATCTTAAATAATAAACATGATATCACAATAAGAATATTTCCATTGATTCAAGTATGATTTGTATTATTGTAAATAAATGAGGTGAAATCTTGTTACAAAATGCACTACTTAATATAATTAAATATACATTGAGAAAACATATACCAGGATTGTCACAAAAATATAATTTTCTTTTTCCCTTACCCTAAAGAATATTCTGATTTCCTCTAAAAATTATTACATATACTCAAAAAAAAATGTTCTGTATTTATTTATAAATTTAACTTTAATTATAAAATTATTCAGAAACACCAATAACTTATTTTTTTTAAATAAATATTAAATCATTATTATTTTTCCTTAGGAATTAAAATTCTTCAAAAAATTCAAATTCAAACTTTTTTGGAATTCAACGAATTCAACAATTTATAATAATTAAAAATGACCGAGTGATAAAATCATTACTTTATATATTAAAAGAATATTGTTACTGTAACTATTTTTCAAAATTATTTTCATCATTTCAATTAAAAACCTATTCTGAAAGTTCATCTATTTATGAAAATTGCAAACGCCAACTCTTTTAAAATTCAATTAATTTTGAAATATTTAAGTAAAAGTATGCATTAAAAAATTTATAAGTAATTATTTTATTATTAAAAAAGAAATTATTGTGAAAGTCGATCACACTCCCTTAATAACTATTACTAAAATCAAATTTAACATTTAAGGGAGTGTAAAAGTCGATACGATTTTCCCAATAGAGCTCTATGTAAAAATCGTATATCTCTGACATCCCCCTTAAGTACTAATTGACTTTTAGTTTTAAACTATTTTTATATACTATTACAATATTGATAATAATTAATTACATACTTAATTTTGCATAATTTTATATTAAATAAATTCCAGTCAATAAATAATTACAAGAAGAAGAATTCAACTTTATCGACCGAAAGACATCTATCAGAAGCCAATCGAACTTCTAATAGAACTATTTTCTTAAGATAATATGGATTTTTCGACAAATTATTAAATACGTATTAAATATTCTTAAAAAACTAAGCTATGTGGTCGAGTGCAAATTTTATTATTAATTTTTTAAATAACTTAAACTCCGATAAGTAATTAAATTTTTCAAATCTTTTATTTTTATAAAGATATTTACTTAAAAAAAAACTTATTTTCACACAAAATAATTAATTTTTCACTTAGAATCAAATAATAATGAAATAATACTTTGAACAAATAACATTTATGATGTATAACAATTCGAAAATTTAACATTTTCGTCAAATAATAATTTGATTGCATATAAATCAAATATCAAATAGTCATTAAGTAAGTTAGGTTATGTATATGTTATGTATAGTTATTCGGAGAACAAAATTATATTTCTGAAGAATCTAGGTTTTATTCTAAAAACTGTTTCGTAAAAATGAAAATATATGACAAAAATTAATCATTTATTTAAAAATAATAAATTATGATTCGAAATTGTATTTGGAAAATTGTATTTGAATTTAAAAATTATATATGAAAATTCGTGCGTAAGATAAAATTTGTATTGAATCTTATAATATAATTACAGAAGTCTACACTTATTTAAATTATAATTATTTTTAAAAATATTACATACCTAGTGCCGTAAGTGGGCCCCAGTGAAAAACTTTTTTCATCGGACCGGTACACATCCTTAATTTTTAAAATAAATTTTTCTTATTCAAACATAATTTTTTAAAACTTCAACTACTCTACGCACAACTTTCATGTCAATTTATTAAAAAAAAGATAAACTCAGTCACGTTATTTTCAATTCTTCATTTTCATTTTTAAAAGCTTGTGTTAGAAAATTCTTCCGAATCATTCTCTGTACACAAACTTGATGTTTTAGTTGTTGGTATAGGGTAGAGGTAGAATTGAGAATGCTTCGTGATTTTTCGTTTATCTTCGTGCTACTGTATAGTAATTTCGGAGTTTGACAGAGGAGACGACAACGCAAGTGTAATATTTGCATCGTGTGTGCCATGAGTGTTTGTGTGTTTAAAATTGTTTTCTTGCTTTTCTTATAAAAAAAATCTTTTTCTCTGTGTCTTTTAATTTATAAATATTGAAATAAAAACAAGTGCATATTCTACAGAAGTTAATATAAAAGTATGCAACAATGACTACCTCATCAGATGTAACAGCGGTAAGTATTTTTTTCTTATAATTTAAATATAGATTCTAACCTAAAATTTCTATTAGCTTTGTTTATAACATCTATAGTTTGTAAGAAAGGGACAATATTCAAAGTGGCAATTTACTAATGCAAACTACTAAAGTCTGCAAGAATTTTCATTATAGTTGAAAACAGCATCTTTCACACTTTCTAAAATTAAATTAAGGAAGAAATTTTAAACTTGAAGTCACTTGAACAAAAATTTACAGTACAAAGTAATTTGATTTGTCATTTAGAATCAGATTTAGTAGAAACTAATCTAGATTTTACCAAGAAAATAACCGGAAATTAAATTCTCCGAAAATTTATAAGAGAATGTAACATAACCTCACTTTTGTCATTATTCACTTATTATGGTATATATGCGATGGTCCGGCGTTGTGTTTTTATTTAATAGTTGTTATTCTGTTTATTATAGTGGCTATAAAATATATTTAAAGATTTAAAAAATGACAAAACCAACTAATTTGATCAACTTTTGAAGAATTTTAATTGCAAATTTATTAAAAATTTTAATGAAAAATCTTTAAATGTAAACTTAAAATAATAAAAATTAATACAAATTAGCTTATTACATTTTTAAATTAAATATTTTCAATATCTTCAATTACATATTTCCGAAAATTCAAATACACAAAAAATAATAACATTTTAGAATTATTTTTAACATTTTGGAGAAAACAATCCATGATAAAAAGTTTTTTTATTAAAATTCATTAAAAAATTAATTAGTTTTTTTAAATTATACTACAATTCTTTTAAGAAATTCAATTATTTAAGAAAAATTATAATTATTTTAAATTTATTTAAATTATTTAAAAATATGTTTAAAAAATTCATTATAAGAATTTCTTTATTATAATTGAAAAATGGGATAAAACTTAATTTTATAGACTGTCTTTCTTGAATATTATATTCTATAGGCAATATTTTACAATTAAAATAAAGTAAAATTTACTACTAGAATAAAATGTAAAATTTACAATGTTCCTGAAATTTTAGGTTCGAGTTCAATCGTGTCTAAATTTACCGCTTATTACACGATGCAGAGAACTCACAGTATTAATTGAAAAATCAAGTACAGCTGATCTACAACACGTCTTCCCTGTTTTAATACATTCACTATTTGGAATAAACGATAATGTCGGTTGGGGTTTACATTCCATTAATGCAAAGAAAAATCCTCAGGAATATGATACACTTTGCTATTTTCTTGGTCCAATGGGACCAATATTTTCTCTATGCTACAAATTACTTCCAGACTGTTACTTGAAATATAATTTTCCAGTCTCCTATTTACCGGTGAGTTTTATAAATCCCTACAACACTCAATATTAACCCTCTGCTGATGCTAACTTATCTCCACTCTATCGCCATAGAATGTAACTCTTACAGTTCCCACCAGGCGTTCAAATTGATGATTTTTGACGATAACGGTCGTTAGCACCAACAGAGGGTTAAATTTTGAATAATTAGCTTCAATCTAAACAAAAACTGATTTTTTTACTTATTTTTTAACTTACTTTTTTTTCTTAGGCGAAAATACGTTTAATGTTGGAGGAAGGGATTATACCTCCATTTTACTTGGACAAAATTAAAGATGATCATAACTCACGATTACTGTCGGAACTGACTATGAGTATCCTTTTTTGAATGGTTAAAAATAAAACTGTAAATGGTTTTAAAGATTTTATAAAGAACTCATGATTTATTATTTAGTTTAGATTTAGTATTTAGTTAAGTATCTCAGATATTGACCTTAATGAGCACATATCCCTTTGAGTATTACATTTTTCATTTTGCCTATCATCTCACCAATCCTTGGCTTCAACAACCGCAACAAGAAAATGTTTGGACAAATTGGGAAACCATTTACGTTCAATTGGCACACAATTATTTGAATCATTTTTTGCCAAGGGACAATTCGGCAGTACTACCTATAATTGGTCCATATGTAAAGAAAACTCCACCTAGGAAACTGATGCAATCACCTGAATCAAAAAGGTTACTATTCTTAATAATAAATTTCACAGTAGTAATTATTTTTACGGTAAGTGCTTCGTCTATTTCATCGAATAAAATTTAATAAAAATGTCATTGATCAAAATTTAGATTACAAACACCACGATTACTGAGAACTTCAATACTATCTCCAACTTCAACAAGTCCAGTTTCTGGTGTACCACAACAACAATGTTTACCACAAGTTTGGAGAAGTGAAACTGTTGTTCAGGTTTGCCTTGATTTCTGGTTGGAATATACTGAGGAAGATCAGTATTCCCCAAATCTTGTTACTGGAACAACGAGTTCCCTTCCACGACGGGTAAGTTTTACTGGTGGATTTTTATTTTTATATTTGCAAGATGACGAAGTTATTGATTGTTTCTATTTTACAGCAAAGTATACATTCTGGAGAGCACATTCGTCTTGTGCGTGCACTTTTAAAAACATTACATGAATTTGCAAATAGTGCAACTGGAGACAAAAGCGCCATCGACGAATTGAAGAGGTAGGTAATAAAGTTTAGATGCTAGAACCTTGGGAAATCTTTTAATTCAATCAGTAAGGTAAGTAAGATTATAAGATGATGCGTATAGTTAAGGTAAGATCAGAAAAAAAGTCTGACGATTTAATGTTATTAGAAATGATTATGGAAGAAGGAATTAAATTTCTTTTGATTCAATGATCTGTCGCGTTTAATCCACATCAAAATATCATCCTAAATATGCTTTTGCATAAAGGTATTAAATATTTATTTAAATATTGTTACAAAGGACATGATTTTATTTAGAAGCAATGCATAGAGTTCACGAATTTAATATACATGAGCAATCACATGCAACACGTAGATTAGCTGTACATTTGCCTAATCAACAATCAATATGTTTTCAAGAACACACCAAATCTAACTTGGAGAACCTTAAATTCAGTTCCTCGAGGAGGATAGACTTTGTATTCTCGCCAAGCTAAAAATTTTAAAAATCATGGTTGCCACAGAGCCTGGAAATCCTGGAATTTTATATTTACATTTTGTGGCAACCATGAAAATTGCTTATGACAATTGTCAATTGCATCAGAGTACTTTTGAAAAAATGGAGACCAAATAACTGGTGCATATAAGAATTTTGATGCAACAAATGCTTGAAAGAAAACCGTTAAAGTTGATATCCTATTGAATTGTTTAAATGATCTTAATAAAAAGCCAAGAGTTTTACTAGCACTATTAACCATATCTGAAACATGATCTTTAAATGACAAACTAGGGGAAAAAGAAATCCCAAGATCCTTCATCCCATTAACCCTCATATCATAGTTCCCATCAATATAATACTAATAAATAAGAGATCATCATTGATAAAGTAGTTCGGACAACATTAAAATTGTCCTTCCCCTAAATTTTCAGAGTGATACTTCCATCGGTTCAAGGAAAAATTTATCTCTTCTTAAAAAAAGCAATCCATCATTGGCCGTTGGATAGTTCGTTTCGATTGATATTAGAAGCTTGGTTGAGTTTCATTCAACCCTGGAGATACGTATCGGGTGTTATGTACAGTGAAGAAGGGTTCGTATTTATTCTAATTAAAATTGCAAATTAAATTAAAATCCGCTAATTTTTTTTCTTTGTTAATAATCAAACTCTTATCACTTTCCTTAATAAAGGAAACTTGAGGAAGAAGATAAAGGCAAAATACACGATCCAAGCAGATGGATGTCATTTGTGGCGAATAATTTATTAGCCTACACGGCGATATTCCAACAACTTCTTCCAAGATTCATGAGAATAGATTTGGTTGCACCTAAAAATTCTCTGATGCTATTCCGCGTGACGAAAGTAAAATATAATCCACATTAAATAGAGAAATTGAACCGCATTTGGGTTGTTTGACAAAAAGAATTTATTTACAGGTATTTTCTCAACCTCATCTAACAGAAATGTTGTCTGACATTGAAACTTGTATGGATGACGTAGCACTGAGTCGTGGTAGATTATCTAATAATAATCAATGGACCGCGGTGGTACGACAGCAAATTCTCGAACTCGAAGGACCATCACATCAGTATACTCCCATGTTTTCAGTATCAACGAAAAATCAAGTAATTAAATTACTTATTAATGAAGTAATCCAATTACTTTAAGTGTTGGAAAATTGAAACTGGCAATTTATCAATTTTTAGGTCCTTGATTTTTTGTATGCTGTACGTCAAGCTCAATTAACAGCAATCGGTTTGCTGGAAGCTTTAGAGAAACAAAAAAGTGGGAGAAAATTGCTTATATCAATGTGGAATTTTTTTAATAGCGACAATCATTCTTCGGATGATGTAAGTTTGGAGGAGAGAAGAAAGGTTCCCGCTTATTTAGCCTTTGCACAAGAAAGACTAATTTATATATTCAGAGTAAGTATTTAAAACCTAAGGATATAGAAATTATTTCTATTTCCTTGTAATTGAATTATAAATCTAATAATGGGTTTTTTTTAGCTAGAAGAAGAAGAATTTCCTCCTGCGAATTTAGTTGCCGATCAAGAGTATCATGACACGATACTTTCCACTTCATTTAGTCATCAATCTCAAGTAAGAAACTGTACTAGTAATCGAGGCTCCAGATCTTAAAATGGTACATATACTATTTAAAATCAATTCTGCATGTACCTTTTTAAGATCCGGAGCCTCAAATTTACTTAAGCTCTAAATCAGATCTAATTAGACTTTTCTACAATCCTTTTGATTCTTTCGAAAATAAGAAATGGGAACTAATATAAATTTACAGTTGGATTCAAGTTTGGACTCTACTAGACCTGGTGTTTACGTTCCAATTCAAGATGGAAAACAAAATTATAGGTACGTCGAGTATCTAGGGGATCCGGAACTTCAACCTGTTCGCAGCAACGAGATTACGATTTTAGTCCGAGCATTGTACAAATTGTGCACGTTTTTAAATAACAAGGTATTGTGGTTTTACTTTTGGATCCTATGTCTACTAATAGTAGGTAGTAACTAAACTTTTTTCTATTTAACAGTATCAGCACGATTTAATAAGAATTTATAGGAGAAACGATTTTATTGGTAGAATCGCACATCAAATTATTAAACCACCAACCTTAGTAGTCAATTTACCGAAACGTACTACAAGTGGTTTTACTTCCGGTTCGGAAGTTCGAATCCCCCCTAGAATCAGTTTTCGCGTTATGGCCAACTACCATGTTTCAGGAAGCATACTTATTGGAATGTTATTCTTCTGGATATTAGGGTTTGAAATTTTCTACTACATATAATTTATTACTATTCTACTACATATAATTTATTACTATTCTACTACATATACTATTACTATAAAATATAAATTTCTACTTTCGTACTTATAAATGACTATAAATCCAATAGAAAATTTCATTTGCAATAATTATCAAGGATATTATTTTTCAGATACAGTATGCCGGTGATATTTGGTCTCTCTGTAATTTCTTGGTTATTTTACATATTGGCACGTGCAGTATGCGAACCATGGGTAACAAACAATAATACGACTACAAGACAATCTTCGTTTACTCATAACTGACGTTTTAAAAAATTTCTAAACACTTATCCAGGCAGACGAAGACCTTAGAAATTGTTACTTTTGTAGAATATCCTTTTTTTGACTGATTGGGGAGCCTGAGATTGATCTACATATACTTAAGATTTGTTATGTAAAAATGTAAAAAATCTAATTTCTTTCATCTCTAAATTTTTTATAACTATTACTTCTATGTTGATATACGAAAAATGTATGTACCTACGTTTTGGCATTCACGCCGTGACATCCTCAGGAATTGATAATAAATAAGTTTAAACGTATCTTATTGTTTTTTTTATCATCAACAAAAACCTATTCTAAAAAGGGAGCCTCTTTTTTGGACCAGTTATTGCTTATGTATATGTAATAGAATTTCAAAAGTGTGGATTACCTCACATACACGATAAAAAAAATTTGCGACTCGTGATGCAGAAACTGTAGATAAAATAATATGTGCAAAAATTCCAGATGAAATATAAAGAATTCCGAACTTTTTCAACATTCTAAAGCAGTTTTAAGTTCATGGACCTTGTGAAAAGCAAAATATGAATTCACCTTTGCATAAATACTGAAACAACAGTTTGCATGAAAAATTAGGCCTACAACTAAACCAAAAGTATTTTTTCTTTAAAACGAATTATGAATATATACTTAATCAATTATTATTTTAAAAAAATTTTAAACCTTAATTTTAAATACAATATGTATACAAAATAAAATTCTTTTAAAAGTGGCCATCTTGAATCCGCCATTTTGTATTTTAAGAACATGTGATTTCAGTCTCAATAATTAACTTCTCCAATGCGTGGGAGTTGAAAACCACGTGTCTTTTGCAATTCTCATTTTCAAGGGAAAGAGAATTATTTCTTTCTATATATTGACAAACAATACGATTTATTGACTTTTAAAAATAGAATTCCTTCTATAATTCAGTTTCTTAAAATATACTTTCTTTCAAGTTCTATTTATATCTCGGATTTTTCAAGTATATTTTCTCTTCTCATATAAGTAAATAATTAATAATAAAAATTGAATTCAGAATGATATTTTAAGTTTGTGATGTGTGTGTCAAAACACACGTACGCACACAATTAATACGCCTTTTTAACAACTTCTGTCTGCTGTCATTTATAGAGAAGAATATACCACACAACTATTTTTTATACAATTAGAGAACTTTTGTGCAATGTCAGACACTCTGTTATATTCCTGTTAAAGATAATATGTGGCATGTTAAATTATCACTAAAAGTGTACCTATATCGTAAATTGTCATATTTTATGCGACTAATTTTTAAATTGAAAAATTGTCGAGTTGAATGTACGCAATAATAATTTTAAGAAAATTTTAGTTAAAGAGTGTTCTTCTTTGTCATTTTTTTTCTCTATTTAAATGAATATTTATTAAAATTTTAACTTTTATTGTTATAAAGCAATAATTTTATTAGAATTTAGAGGGTTAGTTTAAGATAATCTTGAATTTATTGCTACACTCACAATCTTATATTAAGTTTCCCCTAGTTTGACCTCCTACCAGCGAAAACGTGACATCACTTGTTAGATGAACTTCATCTAAAAATGTCGAAATTGAGGAGCGTTCTATTTTTCTCTTTTTTGAAATTTAGTTCTATTTATCAAAAAGTGCATAAAATTTTTTTTATTTATATTATTAGTTTTATTTCACTTTTATTTATAAAACAGAATTTTCATAATTTTTTTTCAAAAAAAATTAATTATTTAAATAGATTTTTAAAAAATTCTTCGCAAGAATTCAATTATTTCTATAAATAATAACATTCTTCTCAGGAATTCAATTATTCTTTTAAATTTTAATAATAATCGTTGCAATAATCCAATTATTTTTATAAATATTAAAACTCATCGCAGGATTTCAATTATTTGTATAAATAACAAATTTTTTGTAAGAATTCAAATATTCTTATAAATAATAAAATTTTTCGTAAAAAATTTATTAATTTAAAAAAAATTTTTTAAATCCTTCTAAAAATTAAATTATTCTCATAAATAATAAAATTCTTCTGAGAATTTGAATAATATTTAAAAATGCCAATAAAATTCTTCAAACTAATTCAATTATTTTTATAATTAACAAAATTCTTCCCAAAAATTCAATTATTTCTAAAAAATTTAATAAAACTCTTCCAAAGAATTCAATTACTTTTGAAAATAACAAATTTTTGGCATAAATTCAATTATTTTCAAAAAATTTAATAAATGTCTTCTTAAAAATGCAAATATCCTCATAAAAAATAAAATTCTTCTAAGAATTTGAATATTATTTAAAAATGCTAATAAAATTCTTCGCAAAAATTCAAATATTTATATAAATAACAAAATTCTCAAAATTCTTAACAGAAATTCAATTATTTTCATAAATAAAAAAATTCTTCTCAAAAATTCAATTTTTTTCAAAAAATTTAATAAAATTCGTCCAAAGAATTCAATTATTTTTGAAAATAACAAATATTTGGAATAGATTAAATTATTTTCATAAATAATATACAAATTTCAAAGAAATTCAATTATTTAAAACACAATTTTCATAAAATTTTTTGAAAAATTTTTTTTTTAAATTTTTCTCAAGAATGCAATTATTTAAAAAACTTTATTATAGTTCGGTGCCAAAAATTTAATTATTTTCATAAATAATAAAATTCTTCGCAGGATTTCAATTATTTTTAATATAATTTTAAATTAATTCCGCTAAAAACGCAATTATTCTTAAAAGTTTGAATAAAATTCTTCGAAAAAATTCAATTATTTAAAAAAATTTGATATAATTTGTTTCTCATAGTGTAATAATTATTTTCAATTCATTTTTAATTGCATTTCTTGAATGAATTTATTTATCAAAAATTTTAATGCAATTCTTCGTGAAAAATCAACTATTTAAAAAAATGTTGAAAATGTTCTTTATAAAAATTCAAATTTAAGAAATATTCAATTATTCAATAAATTATTTCTTTTTGTATTTAAATAATTGAATTCTCGTAGAACTTTCTAATAAGAATTGATTTAGAATTGAATAAAGTAAAATTATTAAATTTTTGAATAATTTTATTCATTTTCAAATAAAAAATGATTGAATTTTGAAAGAATTATTTTTGTCATTTTTAGAAATAGTTAAATTTCAAAAATGTGTTACATTAAAATCATTTGAAATATTTTAATTCCTGTAGACAAAACAAACAGGTATTTAAATATTTATTTTAAAAAATGATTCTATTTTTTGAATGTAATTAAGAAATTATAAAAAAATTGATTCAAGTTTAATTTTTTTATAGCTACTTTTTTACTACTTTTTTCTGTCTTCAAGCTACTTTTTGCTACTTTTTTAAAATTAATTATCGAGTACGAAGCTTTTCTTTTTTATTTCAAAAAAAAAATATTCAATAAGGGGAACATACTGTTCATAATTGATATGCTATTAGCTATTAAGATAGAAAATATCAGAAAGTCTTTAAAATGTTGAAGAATGTATTGTGAAATTATCGATTTTTAAAAACAAACTACGTTACAAAATAAGTACTTAACTGATTAATTAATTCAAGGAACATTTTTTAAAATGAAAAAAAGAACTAATATATTTACGACTGACATGACTGTCCATTTTCCGTTTATATACATGTACTCATTATTTTACTACCCTTTTTATTCCCTTGAGAAAAAAAAATAGCCGCCTCCTCACCACGCGAATACAAATCTCTTGTAAAAACCTACTATCGTCCTATCATATTAGTATACTTCTGAAGGGCAAAGAAGTTGGACGTGTGTGTTATGGAAACACGTGCGGATGAAATGATCGAATAAAAATTTTGACGTAAAAAAGAAATTTATCGTCTAGAAATAAAAGTGTGAAATTATTATAAAAATAAAATATTAAAAAAAAAGTTTCAAAAAGTGTTAGTTTTTAACTATAAAATCGCAATTATATGTTAAAAACGAAGTATTTCTAAAGAAACAAGTGAATTTTAAAAACATAGTATTATGAAAAATTAAAAGAGGGAAAAATTAATCATTAAAAACTTTTTAATAATTTATTGTTAAATAAAAAAAACTGATTCTAAAACTTAATTTTTAAATTCAGTAAATAATAAAAAAAAAAAAAATGCCTATCAATTCGTATTTTTTCTCTCGAACTGTGAATAAAATAAAAAAAAATCCAAAGATTCAGTGAAGAGGAAAAAAATTTGGAATCATTATTATACAATAATGAAATAAGACGTTTGCACTTTGCAAAAAGGAAGAAAAGGAGAGAAGAACAAAAGGAAGAAGGATAAGATATAAAAAGGAAGTGAAAAAATATCAAGATTACTATATATGTATACATTAGTAAAAATTTTCTAGAAATAATTCATAAAAAATTTGTCAATTTTAAATAAAAATTTGTCAATTATTATTCTTCCTCATTGAGGAAAGGATAAAATTTTTTGTTATGGAAACTGAAAGAAATTGGACGGAATTAACGAGTATTATTAATTATACACTCAGTGATACAATAATTAACGATGATGAGAACAAAAATTCACAATTGAATATTCCCTATACAGTGTGTGAAATTTTAGTGGCTATTGGTGCAATATTTGGCAATGGATTAGTGATAATAATATTTATTAGAGAACGAAAATTACGACGACGAACTAATTACTATATAATATCATTAGCTGTCGCTGATTTATTAGTGGGACTCTTTGCAATACCATTTGCAATTTTAGCCAGTATTGGACTACCAATTAATTTACACGCCTGTCTATTTACCGTGTCTGTTTTAATAGTGCTTTGTACAATTAGTATATTCTGCCTTGTTGCAGTTTCCATTGATCGATACTGGGCTATTATTTATCCTATGGCATATTCACGAATTGTTCGAACAAAAACAGCAATTGGTGAGAGAAAGGAAATTTTTTTCCAATATGTGATTTTGATTTTGTTATTCTGATATCAAGTTAATTATATGTTTATTCGTTTAAATAGTGTTTTCTAATGTGGAATGTGCGTAGTAATTGTGATTGGTTCGCTATTGGCGCATGCGTCACGAGAGGAGTGGGGGACAATGAGAGGGAGTGAGAGAGTTAGCTTCTTTCTCTTTCGCTCTCATTGCCCCCACTCCCAGTGACGCTTAAGCCCGACCAATATGGGACTATTTATTAAATCTGAAGAGGAATTAAAAAATAAATTAAAATTTATTTTTAGGTATAATTTGCATTTGCTGGATTGCTGGTGGTTTGGTGGGTTTTCTACCACTTGCAGGTTGGAATGCAGGAAAAAAACTTGATGACAACTGTATATTCACTGAAGTTATGGACTACAATTATTTAGTATTTCTTTATTTGACAACAATTATTATACCTGGAATTTTAATCGGTGCCTCGTACGCTCACATATATCGAGTTGTTATAAAACAAGTAAAAATATTAAATTTTTTATTTTTATAAAATTGGGGTTCACAGACTGTCATTTTTTTTTAAATTTTTGTATTTCAATTCCGTTAATTTTCACCTATTTTGTAAACTTTTTATAATATTTCCAATAAAAAATTAGTTTTTTTTTTTAATTTACTTACATTTCCATAAATTTGAATTCAAAATATTGTTGATTGTATTTCATTTTTGCTTCTTAATTTTTTAAATAATAATTCCTTTTGTATTGAAGAGTTCTTGTGGAAATTAAAAATTTTTAATTTTCTAATTCAATGTATTGAAAATTAAATACCTACAAACAAAAAATAATTCCTTAAAATTGTATTGAATTAAGAATCACAATTTAATTTGTAAATTTACTATTCTAAAATATAAAAGTATATATATATATATAAAATTTAAATTATAAATATTGTTGTAAGGAAACTAATTTTCATTAGTGCAAAATACGATTAATGTTATTTATTTTATAATAGACTCCTGGATGATTTTTCTTATTTTTATGTTTTGCTTAAAAAATGTTATAATTTCTGAAACAGACAATATTTTGAATCTGAAATAATTTGAATGATTGTTTAGAATTTTATTAAAAAATTTTATAATAATATTTTTTGAAGGAATTTAATTAAAAATGCATTTAAAGCAATTTAATTTATATACCTAAAGAATTTTATAAAAATTTTTGAAAATAATTGAATTCTTTAAAAGAAATTTTATGAAAATTGTATTGAAAATATTGAGAAAAATTAAATTAAAATTCTTGAAAATAATTTAATTATATTTATGGAAAGAATTTGGTTATTTATGTAAATATTTAAAGAATTTTATTTGAATTTTTTTTGAATATAATTGATTTTCTGCGAAGAATTTTATTAAAATTTTTTAAAAGAATTGAATTCTATGAAAATTTTTGTTATTTTTGAAAATATTTTAATGTTTGGGAAGAATTTTATTAAATTTTTTGGAAATAATTGAATTTTTGGGAAAAATGTTGTTAATTATAAAAATAATTGAATTATTTCGAAAAATTTTATTAACATTTTTAAATATTATTTACATTCTTAGAAGAATGTTATTATTTATGAGAATAATTAAACTTTTAGAAGGATTTTATTAAATTCTTTGTAAATAATCAATTTTCTGCAAAGAATTTTATTATTTATAAAAATAATTGAATTCTTGGAAAAAATTGATTATTTTTAAAAATAATTGAATTCTTTCGAAGACTTTTATTAAATTTCATGAAAATAATTGAATTTTTTGGAAAAAATTTAATAAAACTCTTCCAAGGAATTTAATTATTTTTGAAAATTATAAATTTTTGGCATAAATTCAATTATATTCAAAAAATTTAATAAAATCCTTTTAAAAATTCAATTATCCTCATAAATACTAAAATTCTTCTAAGAATTTGAATTATTTTTAAAAATGTTAATAAAATTCTTCGAAATAATTTAATTATTTTTATAATTAACAAAATTTTTAGCGAAAATTCAATTATTACCCAAAAATTTAATAAAATTCTTCCATAGAATTCAATTATTTTTAAAAATAACAACATTTTTTCCAAGAATTCAATTATTTTTATAAACAAAAAAATTCTTGGCAGAAAATTATTTCGAAAAATTTCATTATTTTAATTTATTATTTGTTAATATTATTATTATTATTATTATTATTATTTAGAAGGATTTTATTAAATTTTCTGCCAAGAGTTTTATATAAATTTTTTAAAATAATTCAAATTATAATTCTGCAAATAATTTTTTTAATTTTGAGGATAATCGAATTTTTGTAAAAAATTTTATGAAATTTTTTTGAAAATAATTGAATTTCTGCTAAGAATGTTATTATTTACGAAAGTAATTGAATTCTTGTATTTTTGAAACATAATTGTTTAATTATTTAAATTATTTGTTTAATAGTTGTCAATTTTTTTTTAAATAATTGAATGTCTGCGTAGAATTTTATTATTCATTGAAGATAGTTGAATTTTTGTCGAAAATGTTAATAAAATGTTTGATAATAATTTGAATTCGGCTTCGTGCGAGGAATTTTATTAAATTTTTTGAAAAAAATTGAATTGTTGCAAAGAATTTTATTAATATTTTTGTAAATAATAAATAATAATTAATTGTTAATTGTGTTCATAATAATTATAATTATAATTATTTTTTGTCTCTTCCTTGTCACCTATATTTAGAAAATAATTCACATGTTCAATTTTATTCTAAGGGAAAAATACACTGTGATCCCTGATGTAAAATAAAAACAACTAATTTTTTTAACACTATTTTTTAACTATTTTTAATTTTATTTTTTACACTATTTTTTTTTTATTACAGTTACAGCAAAATGTGACGATAAATCCAATTGGCTCGAAAGAATTTCAACCAGGAACGATGCTTCGTCTTTTGGGCGCTGCACAAAAACGAGAAGTTAAAGCAACACAAAATTTAGCGAGAATTGTTATTTTTTTCATTATTTGTTGGTTTCCATTGTATACGATTAATTGTATTGTCGCATTTTGTCCCAAGTGCTCTGTGAATCAAGTGTTTCTCAATTTTTGCATTATTCTCTCACATCTGAATTCCGTGGGTAATCCCATTCTCTATGCTTATCATTTAAAAGATTTTCGAAATGCAGTTAAACATTTTTTTTGCAGATAATCACGCAATTTGTAGGAAAATAAATTTTTTTTTCTTTTTTAATTATAAAATACAAGTATGAAATATATCACAAATCTCAGCTCGTGAGGTTTTCGAGCACGTTGGCAAATAGGAGAGTAATAATTTTTTCTCATCGGGATTATTTCTCGATGCCTCTTCTATTAATGAATAGCATAAGATTGCATCGTAACAATATGTTGATGCTGCAACTCCAGTTGAAATCATCTGTAAAATCATCTTGGTTTTAATTTTTTAAATTTGTAATTTAATATTTTTAATTTTTATAAAAAAAAATCTACAATATTCATATCAAAAATCGATAATATTTCTGATATTTCTCACCAATATCATAACAGCCATTCGTTCTCCATAGTTACTTTCTTCATTAAATTCGAATTTAATAATAGCAAATGCAGTATCACAAGTTGTGTATATAAAAAGGTATACGTATTCCTAAGGAGAAATTAAAAATTAATTTATGGAAAAAAATGTGTAAATAGATTTTAAAATTAAACACTAAATATAGAACTCTGAAAAATTGTACCATCATCTGTATAAAAACGAAAGTATTATAATTTTTATCGTATATTTATATACGTAAAATTACCGAAAGAAGTAAACGAATTGTGTAACTCTTCCAATGATCGATTTGTATCCGATATGTATAGACAATTAATAAAAATATTGAAAAGAACGCTCCAAAAATACAATAAATTTGAATGTATCTGTTGTGAAAACGACAAAGGCCAATTGAAACGTACATTGTAATGCAGCATATCTAGAAACAAAGGAAATTATAGATTTTTACTTGTACAGTAACTAGAACTTTAAGTATCAGATAAAATTTGTTCACCTACCACTTGTGCAAATTTCAAAAGACCCATTGAACTCCAAATGTAATCATTATTTTTTAATGTTTCATATTCTTCAACGGGTATTATTTCCGTTTCATCGTGTGCAATATCAATAGCTTCAAATGATTCAAAGGCTCTATTTTCACAGCCAAAAATTTCTTCACATCTCTCATCGTCATCACTTAAATCCGAGTCTGATAGAAATGCAAAATTATTATCTATCGTTCGCCTATGCATTTCATTTGTCGAATATGCCGATGATGAACTTGCATTTGAATAATCGTTACTTAAAACTATCACCGATGGCACTAAATAAACAAAAGAGGAATTATTTTAACATAAATACGAAAAGGCACGGCCCGTTTACATAATAATAAATAAATAAATAAATAGATTATAGATTATTTATAATATTTATTATATACCAAAACCAGTTGACGTAGAAGGAATTGCCAGATCCTCTACTTGTCTCACTTTTCTTCCATAAATACGCGGACTTCTCTTTAGTTCCTTTATGGAAAATGTTCGTTGTACTGTTGATGAAACTGAATCTCCAAAATTGTCTTTTACTACCAATTTTCTACTATTATTATTATTATTATTATTTGTTAATTCATTGTTTGGACTATTAACGTTGCTATTGCATTCACTAATCGCCAATGGATTAGGAATTCTTTCATCTCGTGAATTACTTACATAAATTTCTGTATTGTTACTGATTTCTTTTGTTGAATTTTGAATAGATGATGTGCTTATTGGAAAATTGGAAGTAGCTTCATTCTTAAAGTCTCTAGCATCCAATGATGAATTACTGTCTGGATACTTAGTTGATTCTAAATCTTCTAAAACAGTGAAAAGAAATTCTAAGATATTTTTATTTTCCATCAAAATTTTCTTTTAATTCTTATATCGAAAAGCTAAAATCATAGTCTCCTACCATTATCCAAGACAAATTCGGTTCCGTTAATTGTAGTTGATTTAATGATTTGGGCAATTTTTGAATTACTATTACTGGTGAGTAGAAATGTTTTTTCTTTAACATTAGCATCAACATTGTTGTCAACATTGTTGTCCACATTGTTGTCAACATTGTTGTCCACATTGTTGTTAACATTGTTGTTAACATTGTTGTTAACATTGTTGTCCACATTGTTGTCAACATCACTATGAACATTATTATCAGCATCATTAACAACATCATTAGTAACATGATTATCAGCATCATTGTCATCATCATCAGCATCATCATTCTTATCGTAATCATCATCAGCATCATTATTCTTATCATAAACATCATCAATATCATCAAGATCGTTATTATCCTCATCATCATCATAATTTTTAATTTCTTCTTCCTTATCTACAGATTGACTAACATGAAAATTGCACTCAGATTTTTGAACTTCGTTTGAATTTAATTTACCATTTTCTAAATTCAAATCACATGACAATAACACTGTTCGAACTGTAAATAATATGAGAATTTTTATATTTTAATTTCGTTACCAAAAAAGGGTATAAATTATAAAAAATAAAAGAGATAATAGTATTATAGATTACCGATGTCATCCAAAATAGTAGCAATTACTGTATCTCGCTCCCTAAAAATAAAAGTACAACAATAAATTTCTTTCTAATTTTTAATTATAATTGAAAGTATTTTTTAGTGAAAATATTTCCAGTGAACAATTTATAGCTGTAAATTTTATCCTCTAAACCAAAAAGAAGCGACGACTTAAATGCCAGTATAGAAAAGATAAAATGTAAAAGAGTTCATTGACTTACATTTTTGATGACTTAAAAAACTACTGTAACAGATTTCTCACATATTTTCCAAAACGGAACACTAGATGGTTTGAAAAAAAAAATTGTTCGGTATTTTAACATTTATTATTTATTTAATAATCCATAAGCAAGCCATAATATTGAGTAGAATAAATAATTCTTCTGTAACCCTTTCACATTTCCTTTATAAACTCAATCCGCTTCTACGAAACTGTAGTCAGATCCTTACAAAACCACATCTACAATATATATTTATATTTTTCTGAAAAGTTATCACTGTCGGTAAAGAAAAAATTTTAAAATTGTTTATAAATAATAAAACTTTATATAAAAATTTAGTTTTTAACTTTGTATTTTTTTTCTAATTTTGAATCAGTAAATTAAAAAAAAATTTTATTAAAATTGATATAAAATCCATCCAATATTCCATTGTAATATTGAAAATCATACAAAAATAAATGATGAGAACAAAATTATAAAACAACAAATAGAAATACAAATACTAAATCATAAAAAATACAACTAAATCATAAAATGAGATTAATAGAAATTTACTAAATGTTATAGTGTAAAATAAATTTCAGTGGTAATAAGGAGCTTTATTTAAAAATTCTCTGATGATAATCTCGTCATCAAAAAAAGACGAGTATCAAAAAATGAAAACGACTTCTTAAAAAAAGAATTCCGAAAGACTATTTTCAAAAAGTAGAAAAACGAGAAGAATTTACTAAATTATAAATAATTATTTATACAACTAAAATTATATAAAAAACGGGAGTATAAACAAATGATTTTGCAAATCTCAATTTTTGAAAGAAGGTCTTAGAAAAACGGTGAAAATGAGCAACTGCTCAAAGAATGTCGTCAATCATCAGAAATTGATGAAAAAAGAAAAAAAAATATTGTAAAGTTAATCAATTTTAAAAATTTATTATCACTTGTCGTTAACTTTATTGGTGTTGATTATCATATGGTGTCTAGTCATCAAATTCCAGTTGCTTCTAGTAGATGTCGTCATAGTCGGTAATATCAGTTGCTATACTCGTCTGATGATACAAGGCAACGACACTGCAAAGTAGTAGGAAACATTAGTGTAACATTAGATGTAATATTGATATTGGTAACATTAGATGCAATACTAGTAATACTGCAGATATATTAGTAATTAATTAGAAATATTATAGTAATTCACTGGTAATATTTTTGTAATACTGGTAATTTTAGTAATATTACGAATATTACAGTAATATTACGAATATTACAGTAATATTAGTAATATAATAGTATTATTACAATAAATACATTGTAATATTGTTAAAATTACATGTAAAATTCCAGTAAGGATACGTGTCACTATGGAAAAATGTTTAATGAAATTACGAAACAAAGAAAAAATTCGCACTCGTGAAGATTCGAACCCTGAACCCTTGGTGTTCAAAATCTTCAAATTTTGCCACTTGGCCAACCCACACATGATAATGATTACGAACGATAATAATTATTCTTTTCTTGCGCAATTTTGACCCTAAAAAAAGAATATTCAAATTTAAATTAAAATACAATTTTAGTTACTGAACAAATATTTAATTTTGTATTCGCTAAGAATTTTAATAGTACATAGCACTCTTTAACCACTTGAGCGTACAATAAAATTTTTTAATCAAACACACACAATGAAGCAATCAGAAGATTTAACCTTCTCTGAGTAACCAAATTCCAATTTTATTTCCTGTTCTCTATTCTTATTTTATTTCCTAAATACTTTTGCATAAATAAAAAAAAAGAAAATTTGAACAGGCTTCGTACTCGATAATTAATTTTAAAAAAGTAACAAAAAGTAGTAAAAAAGTAGCTGTCGGAAAATTAAACTTGAAGACTCAATTTTTTTATAATTTCTTAATTACATTAAAAAATAGAATCATTATTTTTAAAAATAAATATTTAAATTCCTATTTATTTTGTCTACCAGGAATTAAAAATTTTTCAAATGATTTCAATGTAACGCATTTTTTAAATTTAAATATTTCTAAAAATTACAAAAGTAATTCTTTCAAAATTCAATCATTTTTCAATTCATTTTTCTTGAAATTTATAAATAAAATTATTCAAAACTTTAATCACTTTATTTTATTCAATTCTAAATCAATTCTAATTAGAAAGTTCTACGAGAATAAAATTATTTAAATACAAAAATAAATAATTTATTAAATAATTGAACAATTCAATTCTTATAAAGCACTTTATCAACAATTTTCAAATAATTGAATTTTTACGAAGAATTGCATTAAAATTTTTCATAATAATCAAATTCATTCAAGAAATATAATTGAAAATAGATTGAAAATAATTATTATAATCTAGAATCAAATTATATCAAATTTTTTTTAAATAATTGCATTTTTTCGAAAAATTTCATTCAAATTTTTAAGAATAATTGCGTTGTTATAGCGGAATTAATTTAAAATTACATTAAAAATAATTAAAATCCTGCGATCAGTTTTATTATGTTTAGGTATATTTATGAAAATAATTGAATTTCTGTCACCGAACTTTAATAAAGTTTTTAAAATAATTGCATGCTTGAGAAGAATTTAAAAAAAATCTTTTTAAAAGAAATGATTTTTTTCCAAAAATTTTATGAAAATTGTATTTCAAATAATTGAATTTCTTTGAAAATTGTATATTGTTTATGAAAATAATTTAATTCTTTCAAAAAATTATATTAAATAATTGAATTCTCTCAAAGAAATTTATTAAAATTTTTAATTAAGAATAGTTGCATTTTTGGGGCATTAAAAAATTGCATTTAAAAATTAAAAATTGCATTTAAAATTGTATTAAAAATAATTAATAGAAATCCTGCGATAAGTTCTAATATAATTATAAAAAATTAAAAATAATTGAATTCTTGCAACGATTATTATTAAAATTTAAAAAAATAATTGAATTTCTGAGAAGAATTTTATTATTTGTAAAAATAATTGAAATTCTTGCGAAAAATTTTATAAAAATCTATTTAAATAATTGATTTTTTTCGAAAAATTCTGATTTTAAATAATTGAATTTCTATGAAAACTTTTTTATTTATAAAAATAATTGTTTGCAAAGAATTTCATAAAAATTTGTTTTTTGAATTATTCAATATTCCCTTAAGAAATTGTTTATTAAAATAGTAGATCTATATTAAAAATCATTGAATTAGGCAAAAATTTGTGAAAATAAATAAATAATTGAATCGTTTTAAAGAATTTAATTAAGATTTTTTAAATTTTTTCTCATAACTTTATTAAAATTTTTTAAAATAATTTTTTTATTTTAACTGTTAACAAATTGAAAGTAGTGTAAATTCTCAAACATGCCTCTCTAAATCTGAAATAGTAGAATTCTACTAAGAAATAGTAAAATTTTACTAATTTTTAGTAGTTTTCATGGAAGACTTTTCCCCTTTTCAATTAGTAGAATATTACTAATTTTTAGTAATATTTTACTAATGTTTTAGTAAAATTCCACTAATTGAAAGTAACTTTTTTACTAAATGAATTAGTGACACTGTTTTATCGACTATTAATAAAACAGTTCTACTAATTGTTAGTAGAATTCTACTAATCAATTAGTAAAATCTACTAATAATTAGTAAAATTTCACTATTTGTTAGTAAAATTATTACTAAATCATTTGGTGGAAGACTTTTCGTCATTTCATTAGTAACTTTCTACTAATTCAGATTTAGAGAGTGAAAAAAGTAGCTTTTAGTGTAACAAATAAAAAAAGTATTCAAATTGTAGAAAATTGTAAAAAAAAGTAGTAAATACTAGTTTTTAGTAGATGAGTGCGATGCCTGCTTGAATGAAAAAAAAATTACTATACATAATTATACTATACATATTTGTCAATTTCACTGTGAAAAATTATAAAATCTCTATAACAATTCACAGGAAAAAAATGTGTTAAATTTGTTGAGTGTAGTTTTCAGGTATCGTGTTGTTTTAACACAACTCTGGTGTTATTTTAAAACCCCATTAAAAATGTATATTAATATTAATTTAACACTCTCTAGTTTTAATTTAACACACTCAAGTGTTATTTTAACACCAAAAATAGTGTTAATTTAACACATTTGATATTTTAACACCAAAATAGTGTTAATTTAACACATTTGATATTTTAACACCAAAATAGTGTTAATTTAACACATTTGATATTTTAACACCAAAGTAGTGTTAAAATTACACACTGTCCGTTAAAAATGTTGGGTGTTGTTTTAACAACCACTTTCGGAGTTAAAATAACACTTCTTTTTAAACAATATTTTCGTGTTCCTCAAAAAAAAAAAAAATATTCCACTAATGATTCATTTGCAAATACACGATCAAGATAAGACCAAGAGATTGATGCTGCAGACTAGTCTACGCATTTTATCATGAAACATCGCGCGAGAATTAAAGTCCCTTAAGATAAATCTGTATTTTCGGGAAATCACCGGGTTGATAAGAAATGAAAGAACGAAAGACAAGAGAGTTTGGGTAAATCTTCTGGACGGATGCATCAAGTTCATGAGACTCTTTTTTTTTCTCAAAAAGATCATTTTTGCTAGTGTCGAGGGAAAATAAAAGGATGAGGAGTAGGGGAGGGGGGGGTCGTTATTCTGCAGGCATGCGCTTTCTGTTCTGCGTTCTCGTCGGCATTAACCGACGCAGGCTCAGTCGCCCGCGACTTTAGCACGCGTTACGATTGGATTGTTCTTCCTTTACTTTGGAAAAAATTACAAATACAAAACGAATGCGCGCAAAAGAAAAATTTAAACCGCTACCGGCATTAACACGCGCGTTTTTTTCAATTCAAATTTTAAAACAAATTAAATTGATTTTTAAAAAATAGAATTTTTCGGATATTCTAAAAGAGTGAAATAAACTATTTTTTTTTATTTAGTCAATATAATATTTGTGATTGATAATTTGATAACAATCGTTATAAATCAAAAATTAAACGAAACAGTAATTAGAATTAAAGAGTAAAAAATTTTGACGAGTGATAATTTTTTTTAAATTATTGATATCGAACGGAGTGTTTATTTTACCGTCGCACGTGGATTGGAAAAACACGTGTGCGATCGATTGTAAATACATGATTAGGATCTGTTGTTATTTAAATCGGGAATTTTTTTGATGGACGTTTTTTGTTTGTTTGATGAGATTTTTCTTTTTGAGTGAAATATAGAGGGGAAAAAAAAAATTGTTTCAGTGAGTGTTGAGCATTAAATGCTCCAATCATTGATGATAAATGAAGGAAGCGAGTATCACGCCTTGGGAGATAAATCTTGATTCACTCGTTATGTTCTCCTGAAACGGTGCTTAGAAAATAGTGCATTGCACAGGTAATTAGTGATGCAATAATTATGTAGTCAAAATTATTTTCCTTTTTTGTTCTTTTATTTCCTGATATTCATTGAAAATCGAAAAGAATTTCTCATTTTTAATGTTAATTTTAAATACTCACCACTATGAGAAAAAAAATTTTGTTTGTACAAAATATGTAGCGAACAAAAAAAATATTTGAATTAAATATATTTTATAATTGAATTAAACGTAATTTTTATTGAATCAAATTTATTATCAAATTTATCAACTTTTATTCGATAAATTTTATTTGTTTATTCAATCAAAAGTATTATGTTTAATTCAAAAATAATTTTTTGACTGTATAACAAAGATAATTATGTTGGATTCAAATTTATTGTTTTCTCAGTGTATTATTTATTATTGTAATATTTATTACATTTTGGGTCTTATTTTAAATAATGAAATTGGCAGCAACTTAATTTTGAAAATTTTATATTTAAACATTTTTTATGAAGCTAATGCACACAGTTATCAGCAGTCACTCAATTTTTAAAAATTTTATGTTGGTTTTAAACAAAAGAATATTTAAGTTTAAAACTTCAAACAATTTCAAAAAAAATTTAATTAAACTGTAAAAAAAATTAATTCCATACAGAATTGTTAGTTAAAAATAAGAAAAATTCAAATTTTCAAAGATTTTAATTTAAAACCTTTTCAAAATTCATGATATAAGCTTTTTAATATTCAAAATAACTAAAATTTTAACTGAAATACATTTTTCAATCAATTTTTATTGGAAACATTTACGAGAATTCAATTATTTAAATATAAAAATAAATAAATGTATTAAATAATTGAATGTTTCTTAAAATTAAATTTTCATAGAGAATTTTATTAACAAATTTTTAAATAATGGAATTTTTTAGACAATTATTTAAAAAAAAACTTTTAATAAAATTCTATAGCAACATTTAAATATTTTCATAAATTATAAAAATTTTATAGGAATTCTTCACAAAAATTCAATTATGTTCAACAATTTTCAAAATTCCATATCAAAATTTCAATTTTTTATAAATAATAAAATTCTGCAAAATTCAATTATTTCCAACAATTTTTTTTAAATTCCTGTCAAAATTTCAAATATTTTTAAAAATTCTTCTCAAAGTTTCAATTATTTTGAAAAATTTTAGTTTTAAAATTTTTTAAACTTTTCAACATAATTGAATTTTGTAGAATTTTATTATTTATAAAAAATTGAAATTTTGACAAGAAATTTTTAAAATTGTTGAACATAATTGAACTTCTGTGAAGAATTTGATTACTTTTGAAAATAATTGAATTCTTTCGTAGAATTTTATTTATTTATTTATTCAAGAAGTTGACGGGTAAAATTTTATTAAATTTTTTTGAAAATAATTGAATTTTTGGAAAAGAATTATTAAATTTTTCAGAAATTATTTAATTCTATGGAAAATTTAATTCTATTTTTTTAAAATAATTCAATTTTTACAGCTAAGAATTTTGTTATTTTTGAAAATAATTGAATTTTTTTGGAAAAATTTTGTTATTTATGAAAATAATTGAATTTCTGGTAAGAATTTTGTTATTTATAAGAATATTTAAATTTTTGCGAAGAATTATATTAACATTTTTAAATATTATTCAAATTCTCAGAAGAATTTTATTTTTTTTTTTAAGATAATTGAATTTTTTAGAAGAATTTTATTATTTAAGAGAATATTTTAATTATTTAGAAGAATTTAATTTAATTTTATGAAAATAATTGAATTTATGCAAAAAATTTGTTATTTTCGAAAATAATTTCATTCTGTGAAAGAAGTTTATTCAATTTTTTTGGAAATAATTGAATTTTTGTGAAGAATTTTGTTAATTATATGATAACATGCAATTGAATTATTTCAAAGAATTTTATTAACATTTTTAAATATTATTTTAATTCTTCGAAGATTTTTATATTATTTATGAGGATAATTGAATTTTTAGAAGGATTTTATGAAATTTTTTGAAAATAATTGGATTTTTCAGAAGAATTTTGATAATTTATGAAAATAATTGAATTCTTCCGAAGAATTTTATTGAATATTTTAAAAATAATTAAATTTTTGGGAATAATTTTATTATTTATGGAAAATAATAAAATTGTTCCATAAAATTTAGTATTTTCAAAAATAATAATTGAATTTCTTGGAAGAATTTTTTTAAAAAAATTTTCAACATATTGGAATTTTTGCGAAGAATTTTTAATAATTTTTGAACATAATTCAATTTCTGCGAAAAATTTTATTATTTATGAAAATATAATTGTATTCTTCAAAAGAATTTTATTAGTTACAAAAATAATTGAATTATTGCTAAGAAATTTACAACAAATTTAATTTCTGTAAAATTTGTATTATTTATAATTTATTAACATTTTTGAATATTATTTAAATTCTTAGATTTTTATTATTTATGAGAATAATTAAATTTTTAGAAGGATTTTATGAAATTTTTTGAAAATAATTGAATTTTTCCGAAGAATTTTGTTATTTATAAAGATAATTGAATTGTTGCGAATAAATGTACATCAAATTTAATTCCTGTCAAATTTTTATTATTTATGATTTATTAACATTTTTAAATATTATTTAAATTCTCAGAAGATTTTTTATTATTTATGGGAATAATTGAATTTTTTTAGAAGGATTTTATGAAATTTTTTGAAAATAATTAAACAACAAATTCCTGTAAAATTTTTATTATTTATGATTTTTGGAAAAATTGTACTAAATTTTCCCAAGAATTCCACGCGAAGAATCTTTTCTTCGCGTGGAATTCTTGGGAAAATTTTTTGTAAACTGAAAAACAAGTTAATTTTAAAAAAATTTTTTTAATAAAACATTTTCGAAAATATAAAATTTTTATTAATATTCCACTTTAGTTGTGTTTTAACCAAACAACAATTTTTCTAAGGATGTAGAAAATTTTGTCTCAATTTGACATCCTTAGAAAAATTTGAATAAAATGACAAAGTTCTTTTTGGTTGTGGATCTCAATTTGACCTCCTTAGAAAAACTGTGACAAAATAAGAAAGTTCTTTTTTGCTTGTGGAAAAATTTTATTTATCTTTAATTTCGTTTTGGAAATTTTTTTCCTGTTTGGGAAAATCGATTGCATCATTTATAAAATGAGAAATTCTTTTTGGTTGTGGAAAATGTTTATTAATCTGTAATTCCTTTTTGAATTTTTTTTTTCCTTTTTCGGAAAATAATTATTGCATCATTTATTATCGACTATAGAAATCGAATGATAGAAAACAAAGGAAAGAGCAAGGACCGGGAATGATGTAAGTGTTGTGCGGATTAGAGGTCGTCAATAGACGAACTTGAAGATGTCGAGAGATTGGACGGTGTTGAGATGGCAATTTTTTTGCCTAATTTTATTGGGATTTTGGTTTGTGGATGGTAGACATCATCAGGATGATGATGATAATCAAGTGGTGCATCGACACAGACACAGGCACGAATCGCCATCATCTCCACAATCATCATCATTATCATCAACATCATCGCGATGGCATCACAATTATCCCCGTTCATGGAGAGACGATGAAGACTACAATGATGCTGATGACGAATCAGAAAATGATTACCATTCGCAATTATACTCTAGAAGTTATTTAAAAAATTATCGCGATAAATATGATTCAAGACATTTTCCCTATTATCGCGATAAGCAAGCATTCTCCACTAGACGTCGCAAGACACATTTTGGAAGTAGAGCCAGAAATCATAGAATTCGTCCCAGTAGAGACAGGACCCGTAAGAATTCCTGGGAATATGATGATGATGATGAGGATACGGATTACTATGACTACGATAAATTGAATCGATACGATGATGATTCAAACGAGGACGAGGAATTCTATCCAATTAGAAGGATGTCCCGTAAACACATGAGAATGGGAGATTATGAGAATGATGACAGTAAGGGTCGTCTAGAAAGGTGGGACTGGAAGTTTAAGAACTCGATTCGCAAGGACGTTGGGAGAGATCGTAGACGAAAATTCAGAAACTCGCGAAACAGGTTTCATGATCTCGATAATGATAATGATGATGATAGATTTGTTCGAAAAATTTCTAAACTAAACGTTACGAGGCACGATTATGACAAAACATTTGACGACGATCTTTTCCTCGACGATGAAGAAAACGAAACTGAAGATTATGACGATGACACTTGGTACCCGACAGAAGAGAGAAGAAGATATCCAAAAGACAGAAAATACGATGAAGAAAGATATCGAAAATACGATGAAGAAAGATATTCAAAAGATCGAAAGTCCAATGAAGAAAGATACCGAAAACCGAAAAGTGAATTTCCCAAATATTCCCCGGACAACGAATATTCCTCGGCGGAAAGTAAATATTCGAGTAAATCTTTCGATACTTTCGAAAAACTTCCAGACAAACTGAACGATGATGATGAAGATAATGGAATGTTTCCAGTAGAAGATGAATTAAAGAACGATTTCTACGAGAACGATGTAAAACCATCAATGAAGAAATATGACGACATCATTAGACGCCTCACATCCAACGATCCAACAACGCCAAAAAGTGAAGTTCGACGTGATTATCGGAACATTGAAATTGGAAAGTATCTGAAACGGGACGCCTATGGAAATTTAAAGTACGAACCGAAAAATATGACGAAAATTGATCTCGATTTTGTGACAATAGGCAATATTGAGACAACAACCGAAAAAATTGAAGAAAACTTGAATTCGTCCTCAAATCGAATTGATGGTGAAATAACGATAAAAGTTGTTCCTGGTGTTTTGAATTTAACAAAAAGTTCCGAGCAGGACTATGATTATGGAGGTAACGAGCAGGATGACGATCCCAGTACGCAGACAGATGGAAATAATGCGGTAAGAGAAATTTTTTTTATTGCTATTTAATTTGTTTATTTGCATAAATGAATTTTTCGACAGAGGACTGTCGAAAAATACTGTCCTAGAGATTGAAAACGGTATCGAAATATGTAATTTATGTAAAAATATTCAGGAACAATGCAAAGGATGAAAATAAATTAAAAATAAAAAAAAGTGTCATTAATAACAAATTTGGGTATAACTGCAAATTGTAGATAAGCAAAAAAAAAGGAAGGGTAATTTATTCTATTACTGTGGATGTTGGTTAAATTGCAGATTTAATTTATTTTCTCCTTTTTTGTTTGAGTCATTAACTTATTTTTACCAAACTATCACCTATTTAGTAGTTTTTTCGATAAATTTATAAATTTATAAACTGCGTGACAAATATTGAAAGCAGTTAAAAATGCTTTTTATCATAATTTTGATAAATTTATAAACTGCGTGCCGAATATTGAAAGCAGTTAAAAATACTGTTTATCATAATTTTGACATAAATTAAAATTTTGATGCAAAATTACTATTCGCTTAACATTCGGATATGGGAATCTTCTAAGGACTTTTGAAGTTTATGACGTCCCTGCGATGTCAAAATTTGATAAATTTTTATTTCCTCATTTCTATCTTCTACCAGGGTTACCAGAAAAATTTAATTTTGTTTTTCCCTGATTTCCAGACAAAATTTTGACTTCATCCCTAACCGTAAAGAATATTCTGATTCGCTCTATAAAAATTATTAGACACTCAAAAAACTGTTCAATTATATTTATTTATGAATTTAATTAAAAAAAATTATTCGAAAACATAAATAAATTCTTTTTTGAATAAATATTTAATCGAATAATTCTCTTTCCATAGGAATTAGGATTTTCTAAAAGTTTTAACTAAAATTCTTCTTTAAATCAATTATTTTTAATAAGTATAATTTTTGAAAAAGCTCTTTGAGAATTTTCAAATTCTGCAGAATTTTTAGTTAAAAGTATGAAAAATTAAAATTTTCAAAGATTTCAATTTGAAACCTTATCAAAATTCAATTATTTCTAAAAATTCACGTTATTACTTTTAATATTCATTTATAATGTAAAATTTTAACTGAAATTTCATTTATAATCAATTTTTATTAGCAAATTCTATGAGTATTCAATTATTTAAATGTAAAAATAAATAATAATTTATATTGAATAATTGAATGTTTCTTCAAATTTAATTCACATAAAGAATTTTATCAACAAATTTTTAAATAATTGAATTTATTGAAATATTGAAAAATTTTTAAGAATACATAATTACATTTTTCGAGGAATTTGATTAACATTTTATTAAAAATAATTGAAATTCTGCGATGAGTTTTATTTTTTTTTTTTTAAATAATCGAATTCCTAAAAAGAATTTCATGAGTTATAAAAATAATTAAATCCCTTTTAAAAATTTTATTATTTATGAAAACAATTGAATTATTGTAAAAAAACATTAAAAAATTAGTAAGTAACTGAATTACGGTGTAGTTTTTATTATTTATAAAAATAATATTTAAACAAATATTTGAAAATAATTAAATTTTCTATAGAATTTTACTATTTCTAAAAATAATTGAATTTTTGACGATAATTTTTTTAAATTGACAAACATAATTGAATTTCTGCGAAGAATTTTATTACTTTTGAAAATAGTGTCATTTTTGGAAAGAAAATGGTTATTTATAAAAATATTTAAATTCTTGAGAAGAATATTATTCAATTTTTTTAAAATAATTGAATTTTTGAGAAGAATTTTGTTATTTGCAAAAATAATTGAATTCTTTTGATGAATTTTATTAAATTTTTGAAAATAATTGAATTTTTGCGAAAAATTTAATTATATTTATGAAAATAGTGTCATTTTTGGAAAGAAAATGGTTATTTATAAAAAATATTTGAATTCTTGAGAAGAAAATTATCCAATTTTTTGAAAATAATTGAATTTTTGAGAAGAATTTTCTCATTTGCAAAAATAATTTAATTCTTTTGATGAATTTTATTAAATTTTTTGAAAATATAATTAAATATTTGGGAATAATTGTATTATTTATGAAAATAATAAAGTTGTTGCAAAAAATTCGTCATTTTCAAAAATAATTGAATTTCTTGGAAGAATTTTATTAAATTTTTTTGGAAATAATTGAATTTTTGCGAAGAATTTAATTATATTTATGAAAATAATAGAATTTTTGAAAAGAAAATGGTTATTTATAAAAAATATTTGAATTCTTGAGAAGAAAATTATTCAATTTTTTGAAAATAATTGAATTTTTGAGAAGAATTTTGTCATTTGCAAAAATAATTGAATTCTTTTGATGAATTTTATTAAATTTTTTGAAAATATAATTAAATATTTGGGAATAATTGTATTATTTATGAAAATAATACTATTGTTGTAAAAAATTCGTTATTTTCAAAAATAATTGAATTTCTTGGAAGGATTTTATTAAACTTTTTGGAAATAATTGAATTTTTGCGAAAAATTTAATTATATTTATGAAAATAATGGAATTTTTGAAAAGAAAATGGTTATTTATAAAAAATATTTGAATTCTTGAGAAGAAAATTATTCAATTTTTTGAAAATAATTGAATTTTTGAGAAGAATTTTGTCATTTGCAAAAATAATTGAATTCTTTCGATGAATTTTATTAAAATTTTTGAAAATAATTGAATTTCTGTGAAGAGTTTTGAATTTAAACAAATTTTAAATAACATTCACTTAAAACATAATTAAATTTCTACGAAGAATTTTGTTACTTATAAAAGTAATTGAATTTTCGAAGAATTTTATTAACTTTTTTGAAAATAATTAAATATTTGGGAATAATTGTATTATTTATGAAAATAATAGAATTGTGGCAAAAAAATCCTTTTTTTCAAAAATAATTGAATTTTTTGGAAGAATTTTATTAAATTTTTTGGAAATAATTGATTTTTTGCGAAGAATTTAATTATATTTATGAAAATAATAGAATTTTTGAAAAGAAAATGGTTATTTATAAAAAATATTTGAATTCTTGAGAAGAAAATTATTCAATTTTTTGAAAATAATTGAATTTTTGAGAAGAATTTTGTCATTTGCAAAAATAATTGAATTCTTTTGATGAATTTTATTAAAATTTTTGAAAATAATTGAATTTCTGTGAAGAGTTTTTAATAATTTTTGGACATAATTCAATTTCTGCGAAGAATTTTATTATTATGAAAATAATTGAATTCTTCAAAAGAATTTAATTATTTATGAAAATAATTGAATTATTGCGAAGAAATTTACAATAAATTTAATTCCTGTAAAATTTTTATTATTTATGAAAATAATTAAATGATTTCGTAGAATTTTATTATTTCTAAAAATAATTGAATTTTTTACTACAATTTTTTATAATTGTTGAACATAATTGATTTTCTTCGAATAATTTTATTACTTTTGAAAATAATTGAAATTCTGAGATGAGTTTTATAATTTTCTAAAATAATTAAAATTTTGTTAAGAATTTTATTATATTTATAAAGATAATTGAAATTTTGATCTAAATTTTAAAAAAATTTTGAAAATGAATTTCTGCGACATATTTTATTTACTTTTGAAAATAATTGAATTTCTGCAATCATTTGTAACTTCTCCAAAATTCAATTTTTTTTTAAATGTGTTTTTAACTAAAGTTCTTTTATAAATCCATTATTTTTAATAACCAACGAAATATATTTTTAAAAATTGAACTAATTTCAGAAGAGCTTTGAATTATTAAACAAAAATTCTCTGTTCTTTAAAATTTCTAATTGAATTCATTAAAAATTTAAACTTTATAAAGGTAATAAAATAAGAAAATAAAAATAAAAATAAATAAATAAAAAATTAACAATAAAAATAATTTTAATTCTATAAACAAAAAAATCACTTTTTTCGGTTTTTCTAAAAATTATAAACAGATTTTTAAATAGAAATTATTTTTTCCGTAGAAAAAGAAAGAGTGTATAGTAATAAAAAATGTCGATCAACCGCCCTTTAGGATTACAACTTGCACATATAGGTATGTTGGTTTCCGTATATGTATACATATCTGTATTAAGTCGTATTGCCCGAGGATAATTTTGCATAATGCATTCCCGATGCAATTGAAGTTAGAAAATGGTATTTGTAAGTACCTTAGATCTCACACGAAGGTTTGCGTGAGTCGGATCAAAGTGATGCTTGACTTACCAACGAGATCGAGTTGAATCAACCTTGGAAGATGCAGATTGCGATTCACGATATACATATACCCCCTTCTAGGATATAAGCATTTCTTCTTTAGTCCTTCCTTTACGCTTGTGGAACTCTCGATTGTTCACAAAGCTGTGAACCACCCTGAACTCTCTTGTATTGCGCTCACACGCAATACACAGATCACTGACTCGCAATTTTTAATTTCGAGAGTATTGCCTATATTGCCAAGTATCAAAAGTCATGCTTTATATTCATTCTTTTCCATTTTTATTAATATTTCGATGGTAAAAATTAATTTTTATTTATACAATACAATACAGAAATTATTGCTTCAAAAAAGGAAAAAAAAAGCATTGGCACTATTGGGCCAATAGTTTTTTTTTCCATTGTACAATATGCTTCATATCAAAAAAGGAAAAAATTCTCCACATTGTCCATTGAGGCCTTTCAGCTATAAATAATAAAAATTTTAATGATTATAATTACAGCATTGTCTTACATGATATACCTACTTTATCACATAATCATATCTAAATGTCTTATGATTTTTATAAATTCTTCACATGACCCCATTGCAGGATTTGTGTTACTTCCGGTTTAGTTTATACTTTCTCATTAAGTACAAACCATGAATTTTGAATAAATTATGCATTTTTGAAGGGTTTGGCAATTTTTCCTCCTCATTGCATTGTTCTTAGCGAAATGTCTCCTTTGTTAAATATAGTATTTATTCAACGGGAAATTTTAAAATTTATGGTTGTAAAATTCGTTTACTTAGCACTTTGAGGTATAAAAGAAGTGCTTACAATGCGACTC